GTCGCTCCCTCCTCTCTCCCAAGCCTCGTGTTTAATAAGCTCCCAATGGTCAGATTTGTAGAACTACAGCTTCCAAACCCCTTTTCCTCCTACGGGTTTTGCTCAAAAGACTCAATTATGAAAATTGAACATGTACATGTCAGCCTTACCGCTGCCCCGCAGCTTTCTCCTTTGCTCGTTGAGGGATGGAGAAGACCTCTCCACGCAGAATAAAGGATTTCAAGCCTAAGCTTGCCAGAGGACAGGGAATGCACCACAGAGCCTGTCACAGACTGCAAAGAAGTTGAGATCAAGGGCTGCCAATGCACAAAAAATCATTCTCACCACACCACTGCAGTTCAGTACCCTGGCCAGGAGGAAGAGGAATGGTGTAAGAGCTGCTCCTTCAAGCAAGGGGAAGCTTTCTGCTGTGAAAATAAAAGAAGGACTTCCCCATGTGAGAACAGCAAGCAGAAAATGTTAAGGCTTGTGAAAATATTTAGCATCAGATTGTGTTTGGTGGCATTCACTGGCATTTAGATCAAAGCCAAACCCATGTAGATGGGATCCACCATGCAGGGAACGACAGCAACCAAATCTCTCAGGTTTCTGAGAGATATATGAGATTAAAATAATATGGTATAATATGACAATAGTACTTTGAGATGGGCAGGGATAATGTAAAATATGATAATATGGGATTAAAAAATAAATAAAGAACACAACCCCCTGAAGGATTTCCTAAACGTGGCCTCGGTGATCACACTGCAGAGGTTTCAGACCAAACCATTTCCAATACTTTATCTATGGTTTTAAGCAGTAGTGAACACACTGGAACTTGTGTTCTCAGATAAAGCACCGTCGTGACAAACCAATTCCCTATCTTCTCCTCTCGCGCTGATTTCCAAATGTGCCCAAATGACACATTTACTGTCGTTGTCTTTCTCTCTCCATTTTACATGCTTCCCTCTGGAGGATGAAACAGAGAGAAAACAGTCTGCTTTAAACGCCTCGCAGTGAAAGGCAGGACACCACATACACCATAAGTAATGTAAATGAATTGTGCTGTCAGAACACAGAAGTCTATCACTGCAGCTGCAGAGGCTGCACACTGCAGTAACCTGTGCTGCAGGCCAAGGCTCTACCTGCAGATGCAACTGCTGGTGCTAAAGCACATCGTTTCTATTTCCCTGCGATTTTGATGCTGAAGAGCATCAGTGAGCGAAGTGTCAACCTCCACCCACCCCTCAGGAGCTCGCAGGAGATTTTCCTTCCTTCTTGTCATTCTCCTCTGCGCAATGACCTGCTTTCAGCTCTTTTCACCTTTGCCCCTCTGCTGTCCTAACCCTTTCCTCTCTCCTGGGCTCCCCTGAGCTCCCCTTTCCGCTCTCCTCTGCTCTCCTGCCACACACAGCTGGGGACATTTACAGAGACATTTCTGTTGTCAGAAGCCCACCGGCTGTGAAGCTCTGCATCAGTGAGCACAGCACCTCCCATTCCCACCCTCTGAGAGAGACCTGCTAAGAAATGAAGGAGATGCAGCCTTATTAAAAAGCTCTTAATTAATAGCACAGATCAATGACAGCTTGGCAAGCATTTCTTTAAAAATAACACCATCCATCCCCCTACTTCCACTGCCTCCTGTCTCAGCTCTTTCCTACCAGCACCCCATCTCTCCTGCGACCTAAATCCTTTTTAGCTCCAGAAGAGTTATCCAAATAAAGCTACTTTACGATCAGAACATTGTGTAACCCGGTTTGAGGGTGTTTTACAATGCTGCAGGCACTTCTTGACACAGAACTAAGTATTCTGCATAGTGAAGCACGGCTTTGCACACGCTATTTACATCACAAGGTCATGCCACTCCACTGCAAGCCTCCTGGAACAGTCTTCCATTTTTGCTTACCAAAAGCAACCTCTTTCTGTTCCATACCCTTGGAGCCAACCACTACAGGGCAGCAATAGGGAGGATACTTGGCCACAAGCATAAAAACTCAACCAATCCTCCCTAATCAAACTAAACCGGAAAATACCATGGCATCATTTTTTTGATATCGAATCATGATGATTAACAGCAAAATACTCCTCAAAACCTCAAACCTCTATCACTGTCAATCTTTTGAAAAGCCAAAGTCAGGTCAGGCTATGGCACAGCTGGAACAAGAGTGCACAGTGCTCTTGGGAAGAGCTGTAGTCTAGAACAACACTATACCAAGCACGTATTAAATTCACGCTCACTTCCATCACCAGCAAAACCCAGCGGGCAGACCCTGAGTGCTATTCCCAGTCAGCACAAGCCTGCCAGATTTGGGGGTAACAATTCATGCATTCGGATATAAGGCTAACAGGCTTTTTGGGCCTAGTATCATCTTTATTTTCAGTTCATGTTGCATGGCTTTCTCCATCACAGCTATTTTGAGCCACAACCTATTTAGCTGAATTTTCTCCAGTGGTGAGTCACGATGTTAAGCCTGTCACTGATACAGTCACACTGCGTGTAACCAAGCTCTGGGCACTGCTCTGCTCCCCAGTCCCATGAGATAGGGAAGAAAAGAGGCAGAGCAGGATTCAGGGAAGAGATTTCAGAAGAGAGATGACATTTACATAGAGGATACTGAGCCTATTTATTGCTCTGACATCAAGCGTGCTTCCCATAGATTAAATGCATGAAATTGTGACTGAGGGAACACACACAACGTAAAACTGCAAAATGAACCCAGATTGGATGTGGAAAAAAGCTTCAGAGATGCAAGATAAAAGATAATAATTTGGATTCACTTTTGTTCCACTCTTTCCTTTCTTCAGCCTTACACCAGTGGGGAGAGACAAAGGACAACTGCAGATCATCTTCTGCTGGATAACTTGTAGGGAAAAGCAAATTGAGAAAGGGTATTTTTCCAAGTACTGCTTTCCCTTGATAGTCAACTCTCCTGAAAGGCTGGGAATGCTCTTCACCTACTGCTTGTATTCTGTGCCATATTATAGTTCCAAAGCTTTACAGAGAAGTTATTCAGCTTGTTTCGAGGCAGATGGCATTGCCTGGGTCTTGTGCTGGACAGAGGGTAGCTTAAAAACAATGAACCTTTCAGACTAAGCATTACTACATAATTGCCTGAAATTGCAGGGACTGCACTGCTTTCTTTCAGGTAAACTCCATTACAGTGAAAACCCAACTCCTTTGAACAAGCTAATTACAAGTTCAGAGTCACAAGAGCCTTTTTTGCTAGCATTAACTACTTTCACCTTAAGCTTTGGCAAAATGCTTACAAGAAGGAAAGAAAAAACATACACATAAAGCAAGACATCCAGCGGAGGTAAAGAGCATTTATTGCTAACCTGTGCTCCAGGAGGCATGATGAAGCTCTGAAAAGAAATAATCCCAGAAAACAGGTTTTTAAGTGAACAGAGATAAACAGAGGCTGATCAAAGGCAAGGAGCTGGAAAAGGCTGATTGCAGAGAAGCTGCAGGGATCTACTTTAAGCTACAGTGAGAAAAAAAAGAGATATTTCACAAAAAAAAAGGGGACTGTAGGCTTATGTTCACAACTAAAGGCTGAATTTCCAAAACATTTAATATACCGCAGCAGCCCCCACAGGTTTTTGCTGTTAACCATAGGGCATTAGCGGGTTTCGCACATGAATTGCCATGCATCAACACAGAAAACGGCATTCTTTCCTTTGCAGCCACTCCACAACCCAAGCTTCAGTACATGCAAATAAACTGGCAAACCAAGAATACCATCTAGCACCAGTGAAGCATTCATGGAACAAGTTTGCTTTCAACCAAGACGCTGAGGAAGAATCAAACCCCAGGTTCAAGTGTGTTTAAAGTCTGAACCATTCAGAGGGCTCTTACGAAAGATCTAAACTTTCCTGTTTGCCTGATCTTGCCTCCAGTGATGCAAACGTTTGGAAGAGAACCAGGTAAGTGAAGAGTGAAATGAATCCTAATCTGGTTCATCTTCCCACTGTGTTCTAGCTGAGACTCTTCCCTTGCTGGCCCCAAAAGGCACCCTCTGCCACATCAGTCAGGTCAAACACTGCTTCTGGGGAAGGGCCGAGCCCAGAAAATAGGCTAGACAAATACAGGCAATGAAAAACTGGAAATCATACATCAAGTAATATGCTAGTAAGATGTTTGTGACAAAATCCCCTAGGTAACTCCACAGACACGGAAAAACAGCTCTGAAGGAACAAAAGAAATACTTTAATGCAGAAAAGCAGATAAAAAAAAAAGGAAAAAAAATGAAGTGTTTTTTTTGATTAGTTGCTGTCTTTTGGAGTTCACTACAAAATATGAAAATTTACCTTTAAAATGTTAGACTTCTTTAAAGAACTTTAAACAAACAATACCCGCTGACAGCTGATTTGGGCCTTTGGCACAGGACATCAAATCCGGGTACTCCCAGCACTGCTTCTCTTTGGCTGCAAATCTGTTGGTTTTTATTTTAATGATAAAAGTGTATTTGGGAGAGGGAAGGAAGGAAGGAAAAGGTGATGGCAAATACAGGAACAGAAAATTTGCAACCATTAGTTTCCAGCTGAAGTACAAGGAAGCAGATACTTACTCTAAAACAGTTGAAAAGCACAAAGAGAAGGTCTGGAGCGCAAGGGAACCTTCTGAGCCAACAGCTGGTTCATGGTCTCTGGGTACTGAAAAAGCCACATACACCAAGATTTCCAAACTCATAACCAGTATTACAGCCCACGGGAATTTCCCCATACATTTCAATGGAATAGGCTTTCACTCTGCTACAATAAGCAACTCTCCATGGATACAAAATGAACTGCCTGATGCAACAGGCACACATTAGGACACTTGGCTGCGTCAGGCAGGGCTTGCTTTTGTTTTTCTACCCTGTAGTTCTGAGAACCTGTGTTATATTCACCCATTGCAATACTGCAGAATTATCAGTGTCAGTGTGATCAAGCATCCCCATAAGCACAAAAACACCGGGAGGCTGGATCATTCAGGGAAGTGAGGAGCAGCAGCAGTATCTTTTACACACATCAGAAACAGATTCTCAAAGACACAAACAGTGATTTTTATTACATTATTTAAATAAAAAAAATGAGAATAACCATCTCCTACATTATTCCCATAATAAAAAGTTTATATGACACTGTTAGAAGTGGACAGAAGTATCCATCTAGCGATTGCACAAAACATCTGTGAAACTGAACATAATTTCAACACGTCAATTGGTTTAAATAAATAGCATTTCCTTTTCCAAGGCCTTCTCTATGTAGCAAAATTACATAAAGAAAACCTACAACAGAAACTTAAGTCAGAAAATCTTCTGGGAATATAATCCTTTTTCATGGTGAAAGTGGCTCGCGGTCTAGATTAACTCTATTGGGAGCAGGCTTATATTACATCAAAAGAATATCTGCAAATGAATTTGCATTGTTTAAACAAATTTAATTTAACCCAATATGAGTTAATCAGTGCAAATTTTCCAAAGAGTCAGCTTAAAAGGCAATTAAATGCAAAAACAAAAGTAAGAGCTTGACACAAAATACATAACCTCCTGAAACAGCTTCTTTCTGAGAGGCGATTTGTACCTTCTAAGGATGCACAATAACTCCTGCTGGCCACCGAATTCAGTGGCAATTCGGGTGAATTTGGCTCTCCTCAGAGGCAGACCACAAGTCTGGATTTAACCCTGCTGTATTTATTGCAAACGCTGTTGCTCTCTTGCTGGAAGAGAGCTGCTGAGATGGCAAAACGGAACATAACCAAGATTAGACTACAGTGCATCATACCCTATATTCAGCAAAATAATCACCTTGGAGTCAAATGCTCCAGACAGGTCAAGTCTGCTCTCAGATCAGCAGGCACTACCTTGCCCAGAGCCCTTTCAGGCCATCTTGCTTGTCAAAACAACTTTTACACAGTCATGAATAAGCCTTCATGAGACAATAGAAAGCTTTTCAAGATAAAAATTACGCTAAATGTCTGATTGATATGAGTAAACCCATCCCATCTCCTATCTATTCATTATATAATAGTAGTGTTTTATTCAGTAGTGGGTTTCCAGCCACATCAAAAGTGGCCACAGCTTTATATGCAATCAAATTAAGCAGCTTGTTGGTACAGTGAATAAGCAAGAATAAATGTTGCTTCAAGCACACTGGTTTGCAGCCCGCAGGATAAACAATGTGTTTCATTCATTTCCAAGCAGACCAAGCTTAGAAGGTTAAGCTAACTTGCAACACCAGCATTTCACTGTTCTTCTAGAAGAAACATACCACAAAGTACTCGTTGTTGCAAAGGGTGCAACTCATAAGATTAAAACATTAAAACCCCAATTCTTGTATCAGATGTTCTAGCAAAGTGGGAAGGAGTTTGGGGTTTTTTTTTGTGTCATGAATAAAGTGATGAAGTATTATTTACAGGTACTACACCTAAGGAGAAAGTTAAGGCTTGTTTTCTGAGAGTTTCCTTTTCAAAGGCAGGTATGAATTTAAAGTCACAGTCTGCTGAAGACACTACAACTCAGATGTATTCGCATTGCTGCAGAAGGTGCAGACAGCTAAGAGGCATTTGTGGCAAAGTGTATTTAACATACAATTACATGAGATGCTCTAGTTTCACAAGGGAGCCATATACTGCTTTGACGAGTACTGATATTTTAGCAACACTTAGACCTCTGCCAGCCTTGGATCTGCTACTCCATTTATGTGTAAGAGAAACAGATCCAACTTCTTATTTCTTTGATGAGAATGCCAGTCAGCAACTCCTAAAAAAGAGCAGACCTCTTCCAATACCAGTTATTTTTCTCCCAGGGAAGAAGCTCATTATCACCTGCCAGCCATCAGCTAGCACAGATCTGGTTTCCTCCAACCCATCACCTTGTTCCTTACAGTGGAAATACAGTAACCATTCCTACATTCAACTACTCCAGTACTGAAAGCAAAATCCCAACGTTTTAGAACTTATTTTATCTGCTATAACCATATTTCTTTGAACTCAAAGGTATATTTGGAAGAGGTAGTCCAGGAGAAAAGGGTTTCAAGTACCAAGATCTGTATGTCCCGTACCAAGCCGACAGACCTATCAGTGCACCGATAAGCTTTTGACTGAAGTCATGGAAATACAGGGCAGTAGAGAGAAACATGAACACCCAGATCATGGTGAGAAAACACAAGGAAACAAACAGGGCGTTGATCACAACACGCAGCTTAGAGTTCTGGTCTATGGAGAAGCCTTCCAGCACAGCCACTTCCTCCATGATCATCAGAGCACAGTATGAGAGGAGAAAACAGTGTCCTGAGATATCAAAACCATTCCAGATCCCGTTGTGCTGGTGGCATTCCTGCTTGTTGTCGAACAGCCGGCGAGGCTCGCTGACTTTACCCGAGGTAGAGCACGCACCGGTGAGATTCTCAATGTACATGAAGACTCTGGTACAGACATACCAGACAGCAGTGCCCACCAGCAGCGCGCTGAGACGCCGCAGCACCGTCAAAATGCTCTTCATGCGACCATACAGGAGCTTGCTCTTGGCAAACTGGTAGGTGGTGACTGTGATGAAGGGCAGCAGAAGCCAGAACGTCCATGCCCAAGCCACCTTCACAAAGTATCTGCCAGAGAAAAGCCAAAAGAGAAACATGCATGTGTGAAACTTCACAGGAACTGAGGGTGGTGCTTGAAGGAGCAGGTTTTCAAGGTCACTGCTCAGAACTGTCCAAATTAGACACTTGTACACTCACATCAAAGTAAAGTATAGCTAAAATCTTAACCCTCTCCCCACTCTCAGGCCCAACACATGAGTAATTCCTTAACCAGGTACTTCTACTATTTCCCAGGCAGTGTTCCCTTGGACCTAAAGCCCTTGTTTGGACTTGCAGTTCAGTTTTGCAATCGCTGTTACCCTACAAACCCGCTCAACTCTGCCCTACTCAAACTGCAGCTGTGAAGAACGTATTTTTAGCTTGCTACCCTTACACAGTAACCCTTCCTCTGACTCTCTTCATCTCAATTATCTTTACTTTTAAAGCCCTTCACAACCTCAACCTCTTACCACTGAATAAGACAGCAGAAGGGCTGATTCTTTTCCCTAATGAGCCCATGAAACTTTTCCTGTCATCACCTTATAAAGCAAATGAAGCAGCACAATGTGTTTGCTCCTCTGCTGTCCCTCCAGCTGATGAGCTTTCCTTTAGCATACACAAACCCTTTAATCTCTGAATTCACTTTCTGCCTGATGATTTTTGCTGTAATGCTTATAAAATCTTGAAAACCAAGTGATGATGTGTTGATATCCTGTTTAGCAAGAGACTAGTCGTCAAATCTTAAAGTGGAGCATGTGCATGTGAATTTACTAATGAGTTAAGGAGACCATAGTCTACGATCTTTCTCCTATTAGACCCTCCAATGCAGCTGGCTTCCTATCAACTGGTGGGAGAGGGGAACTGTGCAGCCCCATCCTTACCCATATCCTGGGCTGATTGGGGAATTCTTGTCTGCAGCTGAGCTGTAGCTTGACACACACAGTCATCCTTCAACCACCACTTCAGCATCAAAGACAGAAAGAAGTAGCACCAGAGTTCTGTATCTTCATTAAGACCCTAACAAACACTGTCAGGGCCTGCCCCAGGATTTTGAGGAGCGCCTCCTTTGCTCTTCATTTTACAGTAGAAGTGGCATCTGTGTGGCAACGGCAGCTGCTGCCATGGAATAGAAACTGAAAACTGAGATAGTTAAAAGCAAAAGGCAGCTGCTGACATAGCTGCTGCTGGCCAACCAGCAGGGATTTGTGGGGAAAAAGCTGCTGGATCCAGGGACTGTCAGTACACATAACCTGCCTCTGTTTAAAAAGGAGAGCTGAACTGCTGCATGTTTTTACTGTGAGATCAATGTGCTCCTGCCAGCCCTTCCTTTCAATCTCACTAAGAGCAGCTCCTCTCCCACACGTCACCAAGTGAAAAATCGGGATCAGTAAGGGGCAAAGCCCCCCAGGTCAGAGGGGAAAACGGCAACTTCAGCTTCGCTGCCCGCTGTGTAGCAGGCAAAGCACCCGTGCACCAGCCGGGCTCAGCGCCTTCCTCATTCCCTTCACAGGGTTCACAGGCAGTTTAGGAGTGACTAAAGCAGCTGAACCGTTGACTAAGTGCTAGAAAAGGATGGCAGGAACTCTGCTGTTACCAAAGACGCTGAAGGACTTATTTTCTTCAGCTTGCTAACTTCCTGCTTACTTAAGGAATTACCTGGGAACTAAAGAAGGGAAAACATTGCTCTCCCCCCCCTTCCAACAAAACCTGAGCGGGAAACTCCACTGTTCTTGGCTCTCGCAGTCCCACACCCCACCGGAGACGTGAGCACCAGGCAATCCAGCTGACACCACCCCACCGCCGGGCACACACCGCCCACACCGAACCACCCCAGCGCCGGCCCCCACGACCGGGGCAGGCGGGTGTCGCTGTCCCCGTCCTCCCGCCCCGGGGCCCGCGCTCGCTCCCCGCCGCCCGTCCCGGTTCTCCTCACACGTTGAGCGGGTTGCGCTTGTTCTGCAAGGGCGTCTCGGGCACCAGGTCGGCGTCCTTGAGGGCGGACCCGAGGACGACGATGGCGAGCAGCAGCCAGGGCAGCCTGCGCCGCACCCGCCCGGCCGCCAGCGCGGCCCGCAGCCAGCGCCCGCACCGCTCCAGCCGCTCCATCCCCGCCGCGCCGCGCCGCGCCGCGCAGCCCGCCCGGCCGCCGTACGACGTCACACGCCGCGCACCGGGCACCGGCCCCGCCCGCCGCCTCGCCGCTAGGGCGCCCCCTTGCGGCCCCGGCCAGGTGGCTGCGGCGGGAGGGCGCCCCCTGCAGGGCGCTGCGGTGGGAGCTGATCCGCGAGGGTCCGCGGTCCATAGGGCTGCGGGGTCTGTGCCGGAGCCAGGGTCCCACAGCGGGAGAAGGTCCCTCTGTACATCCGTGTCACAGGAATAAAACGTGCTCAGAGGCTGGGGCTGTTCAGGCTGGCGAAGAGAAGCTGCGTGGAGACCTCAGAGCAGCCTTCCAGTATCGGAAGGGGGGCTCTAGGGCTGCTGGGGAGGGACTCCTCATTAGGGACTGTAGTGATAGGACAAGGGGTAACGGGTTCAAAGTTAAACAGGGAAAGTTTAGATTGCATATAAGGAGGAAATTCTTTACTGTGAGGGTGGTGAGGCCCTGGAATGGGTTGCCCAAGGATGCTGTGAATGCTCCATCCCTGGCGGTGTTCAACGCCAGGTTGGACGGAGCCTTGGGTGGCAGGGTTTAGTGGGAGGTTTCCCTGCCCATGGCAGGGGGGTTGGAACTGGAGGATGGTAAGGTCCTTTCCAATCCTAACTATTCTAGGAGTCTATTCTAAGCTCCCATTTCCCACTGTCTCCTATCAAAATGAGAACTGAGATGGTGTTTTGTATCCATCACCTGATGGGCAGGATGCTTCTGCAGAAGGGCATCACAAGAGAACACTCCAAGGGGCTCATGGGCTGTAGTGTCTGCACTGCAGAATGCTAGAACTGGTTAGGTTGCAAAGACCTTTAATATCTTTTAAGTCCATCACTAAACCATGTCCCTCAGTGCCACATCTGTACATCTTTTAAATACCCCAGGGATGGTGACTCCACCACTTCCCCAGCTTGTTTCCAATGCTTGACAACCTTTTCAGTGCATAAATACTTCCTACTCTCTGATCTAAACCTCCCCTGGTGCACCTTGAGGCTGTCTTCTCCTGTGCCATAAGTTGGCATCCACCACCCCTGGAGTCACCTCCTCTGAAAGACAAGGTCTTACCATAATATCCAAGGGGAAAATTGACAGTTTCCACATAGTAGAATTTTATGTTTAGGTAGGCTTAAGACAGAGGCAGAAACCATCTCTGGGGCTGCCAAAGCACCCACACCTTCTCACTGCCCATGTTTATAGCTGGAAGTGATGTCCAAGCACTGGCCATCACCGTGGTATTTGAGACCTATTTCATCTATTGAACTTCTGCCACTGTCATTTCAACTTCATTTTTGACACATGACAAAAAGCACCAGCAAGCAGGAAACGGCTAAAGGAACAAAGAGCCTTTGTTCATCCCAGCGGCCTAGGGAAGAAAAATGTGGGAGGGGACAAAAAAAAGCAGACCCTATCTGAGACAGGATGGGAAAGTATTTCTTGCCAGAGCGCGTTTCAAAGCCGGTTTGCAGTCATCGTCAGCAAATCTATGACAACATCTGGGCTGAAAGAGCAGAAGGACACATCAAAGCAGTCCCAGTAGATACGAAGGGTTTCAGCTAAGGAGGTTATCCAAGGTAAATGGCACTTGGCAATTTGTTTAGGCGTTGTTTTTAGCAGGACTGCCACGGCCGTGTCTGGCACTCCCAGCCACAGCATTGTACCCCTGAATCAGAAAAGACACAGCTGCGTTCACTCGAATGAGTGAGGATAAGAGGGGCTGGGAGAGGGTTAAGCAGAGTCCGGCATTGTCTGCCTAAATCCCTCTCCGCCTTTGAAACCTTGCCTCCTTTGCTTCCCAGGTTTGGGTCTCAGCCTGTTTGCAATGCCTGCGAGCTGGAGGTGGCGAGCTGCTCGGCTGGTTGCTAATGAAGCATGCTGTGGTTTCTACCACGCAGCAGGAGGATTTCATACTCTTGGCACCTGTTCCAGATGAATGGAATCGATGGCATGGGCTGGGAATGTGTCTATCTTCAGCCCAGCTTGAAATGTCTGAGGATTATCTCTGTAAATCACGGATTTTCGCAAGTGCAGTGAGCAAAGCGCAGCTGGGTCCAGGTGTCCTGCAGATTCAGAGTAAATCTCTACTGTCGGGCCATGTATTTGCTGCCATGTGCACCAGCCAAGGCCAATAGTCCTTCTGAGGAGCCAGTCGCCATTCCTCTGTAAAGAATCAGAGAGGAATTTAAGTCTTTTAAAACAGAAGAAAAACTTATATTCAGAAAGAGGGAATATGGGTTGTTCTAGGGGGATTGCAGAAAGCTCCCAAAGAGCTCTCACTGATACGTGGTTGAACTGCAACAGGTATAAACCATACTAAACTGAGTTACTTTCTCAGGTATAGCAGACATGGCTGTCCTTCCCTTTCTCTGTATCTCTTTCCTTAACTTCATCAAATCACTGATGAAGTTAAGGAAATACATCAAATACATCAAATGCCTGATTCAAGCCGAAATCTTCCAGACTATTTGCTTAAAATCCTGTTTGCTTACTTTCTGGTTTAATTTTGTCCAAGACCCCCACAGTTTGTTTCACTTTCCTTGGGGAATCACATTTTGCCTCTAAAGCGTGCAGGGACAGATTCCTTAGGAGCTGTAGAGCCACTTTCAGAACTGAAAATGTTTGGTAAGGTGGGTTCTGCGGGGCCAGTTACACCACAGGAAAGGTGTGCTCCGGGAGCATCAGGAAGAGATGGCAGGTGCCCATCCAAGCATGCTGCCCAGCGGGATCAGCAGGGCCCCCAGCCTGTGTCTACACACTTGGAGGGGCTGAGTTACCCCGCAGGTAAACTCTCATTTGGGCTTGGGAGACCTTCTCTCCTCCTGGCTTGTCCTCCCGCCTCACAGCAATTCCCACCTCCTGCTTCCCATAACTGCCCCCAGCCCTTCCCTCTGGAAGCCAGGTGCTCCTTGCCGAGCCTCCCTGCTCCCTGTTTTCCTTGGTGAACACTGCTCACATCTCCATGACTGATTGTGTCTGGATTTGATCATGGAACGTCCTGGAACGTTCGCATGAGAGGTGCTACATAAGCAGAATTCGGGCTGTATTTTCTTTGTCTAATAGGAGCTTAAGCTGGGAGTTTAAGATAGCTTTGGCCCTTTGTTGAGACACCATCCATCAACCTCAGTGCTTTTTGCTCTGCAGCCTTCTCTATTCACTGTCAGCTCATGTTGTGCTTTGTTCCCTTGTCAGTGATGCCTTTGAAATGCAGCCTGGGGCAGAGGAGCAGCAGCCTTCCCTCACACTGGCTTACACCTTTGCTGTCACTCTCTGGTGGGGAGGGATGCTCTTCCTGCGAGCCCCAGTCTTGTCAGAACCAAGGGTAAGTCTCCCTCCTGCAAACAGATGCTGTTGTTTACAGACAAGATGCTGAGTGGAGAGACAGAAAGGAGATGATGTTAACTCGCCACCTGTGTGGCTGCGCAAACAAAGGGGAAAGGTCCTTCCCAGTTCTGAAACCCCAAGAATTTGGGGGGAAAAGTGTGGAAATTAACCCCAGGGAATCTGTAAAGACTGAACCCTTGATGAAAACCTCTTCAGGTGGCACATTTCCCCTCCATCTCTCCTCAAATGAACAGGAAGGGTATGATCCGAGCTGCAGGGAATTTTCAGCATACTTGGTGGTTGTATCCAAAGAGTAAAATATTTTGGGATGTAGGGCAAAGCATAAGAAACATAAGAACAAACCAATGCAGTTTTCAGTCGCAGAAACCTTGTTAATGCTGCAAATTAATACCTACTGGTTCAGAATATTTACATTCCTTGTTCTGCACAGCCAGATTGCAGCAGAGCAGACCAACAGCTGGTTTTAATACACAGGAGGGGATGGTTCCGTGATGAGCATGGCCTCTTGAGGAGCTGGGTGTAATTTTTGGCTCAGACAAACCCCCTTCTCCAGCCATTGGCAAGTCCCTTAACCTCTGTATCCCATACCCTGAGCAGGATATGGGAGAGGTTCTGTTCTACTCCTTCCTAAACCTCTTTCAGAGACAACTGTGAGGTTGTGGTGGGCTGCAATAATGATCTGAAGAGCTTGAAAGTAACCAGAGTAGGCAAAGATGCAAAATAGTTACTCTCCCTTTAATTTGTATTCTTTAATACAAATTAAACAGCCCATCAGCCAGTGAAGTGGGGACAAGATTCCTCATGGAAAAAAAGTATAATTCATGTGAGTGCACATGAACATGGACACAAAATGGTCTGAATTAGTCATGTTTATAATCACCCAACTTCCCTGAGCATCTATGGTGCCAAGTCCTTGCTGACATACTCCCCTTTTTGCACAGTGTATAATTCACTCTGTGTTTGCCACAGAAAACCCTCACCCCCAACACCTGCATGTTGGAATTCACTCGATCCTTGCTGCGCTGTCTTTCAGAGGTAGCTGCCGGGTAGGCTTTTCCCTGCAGGCTGAGCAGGCAGCGCTCTCTGAGCAGCACAGTCACTGGGAAGGAACTCCTGCGCAGTCCGAGTCACCTTCCTGTCAGCCAGGTGCTGAAAGTGTTATTTGTTGTTTCCCTTTATTCCCTTCTGTAATGATTATTAATGATAGATTAAACCTTATGCAGAACTCACAACAACAATTTCCATGAAACCCTTTGCTGGGTGGCCGTTGAGCTACCGTACCAAAATATTACATGTTCTGAGATGAAGAAACTACTGTTTATTGGAAGTGGTCAAACATGGGAAGGAAATGGTCTGTGCTTACTCACTCAAATTCAGAAATATGAACTTTTCAGACTTTACTGGTGCGTTTTTAGCTCATGTATTTGCAGGAAAGAATCAGTAAGTATATTCAGGTGTCAAATTTGGAAGTGACTTTGTGTTGATTAGCTGCAGGGGCCACAGTTAATAGTGCTGGTTTCTTGACCGGGTAACTGGCAGAGCCAGCCACATAACATGTTTCAGTCAAATGTATAATTACAGATATTAACTGTAAAACTAAAAAGCCATGCATACATAATATCCAATCTGTGCTTTACCAGCTTGGTTAATTTTACAAGTGTTGGCTGGAAACATGATTTGAATGTGCCCTGACTATAATGACTACCGAAATGCTCTGTAGATAAAAAGTAATAATTACAGCAGATGTTCAAAGGGTTTGCTGGACACCCAGCGCGTTCAAGATTGTCGCAGTGTGAAAGGGGATGTTTAATATACTAAATTAGCTTTGCTCTGTGTTCAGGTTTTTACCTGTGCATTTCCTGTGCTCATCAAGCTCAACGCCTCCTGCTCGCCTTGCCCTGCTCTCTCACCACCAGGCTGCCCCTCATCTCAGCCTTCAGCAGGAGAAGCAAGGGTGCCCCAAGCTGTGGAATTCATTGGGGTGGTCTTCAACCTCTGGTGGCATCTGAAGGCCAAGATGGGCAGGAAGACAGCGAGGTGAGGGGATGTGTCAGTGTGACACGTGCTGAGCAATGCCCAGGTCAGCCATCCCCAGGGCTCAGGCAGTGAAGAGATGAATTTGCCTCATGGAGAAGCCCACAGCTGTCCTGGTGCCTGGGCTCTGGTTTATCACCCTTTTCCCCAGCCAGCAAAAAAGAATAACCCTCTTCCATTTAGCTTCTCCAGGAGTTTGGGAGTGCTTGCTTTGTTGTGTGCACCTGTGGGGTCCCACCAGGTATAGAAGAACAACTGTCCTTAGAGTTAAATGCTCCCAAACAGCAGATTAAGCCCGAAGCCTTTGCTAGGGATCTTCTGCACCTTCTCCAAGGCATCTCATGATATTTTATTGTCAGGACCATTAGTGGTTCGTCGTAGTCTGGCTCAGTTTCCCATCAGGAAATGGACCAGACCAGAAGTGCAGTCTGCCTGGAACACAAAATCTTACAGACTAGAGCGATCCAGTCTGAGCCTTGCCAAGTGAAAGGACTGTACAGAAGGTGGTTAACAGTGCACAGGAGGGCATCACTGACAGCCTGGGGAGGAGGTGGGTGGTGAAGGTTCTGCTCCTGCTGTTCTGAGAATAAACATCTTTGTTCCCCCCTCTAGCTTCAAGTTTGATTACAAATGAAAGGCAAATCCTAATGCTTTAACTAAATCCGAGCATTTGCCACTTCACTTGAAGAAATAGGATTCTTTTCACAAGTGTTCATCTGTACAGTTTGACCAAGCTAGGTTTTTTAAATATGAGCTCACCACAGATGTGCAACTCAGCCCCATCCCTGTTGGCACCGTTCAGAGGCTAGGAAAGAAACCACATGGGAAGCACGTTCTGCCACTTTGCTGGAGAAAGGCCTTTCTACTGGCTGTTTGTTTAATGTAGGCTCCAAACAGGCAAAATGGATCTTACCTTGGTGTATAGAGACAAGCAGGACCCTATGAAATGATGGAAGATGCCAGTGTTGTGCACAGTGCCCCCCAGGGAGGACAGTGGATGTGGTTCCTCTCCTTGTAGAGCAGTGTTTCTGCACGCCAATGAGAGCCCTCTTCCCACAAGACATCAGCGTTGCTGGGGCTTTGAACTCCACTTCAAAGCCAGGGCTGGAGTGAGGTTTCTGTAAACCCAGAGAAACAGGTAAATATTTGTCAGAGTCAATCAACCCTCACCATCACCTCAACAGTCATCTGTGTGAGACAGCTGGAGGGGTTCAGCAGGCACAGAGGGAAGGCTTGTTGAGTTACTGAACCACTTTGGGACACAAATCACTGCAGTGAGGAGATCTGGAGGTTTTCCCCTTTGCATGGTCCATGAACTCATGGAGATGCCTCATCCTTTCCACCACTGAAACAGCCAAAGAGGAAGATCCTTTTCTTGTCTGGGGAGAAAACCAGCCCTGCTTGCAGTACTGCTGCTGTAGCTTTATAGGCACTGCATTCATCTCAGTTATCCCAGATGGGCATCAGCTGTTCACAGAGCTTGAGAGCACATTGCACCTCCCACCTGGTCCCACAGGTTTAATGGTGGGCATTGTAAGCCACCCGTGCTGGAAGACATACCATCATGGAACACTTCCATGATTTTATCAAGTTCTAGTTTCTGACATTCCCCCAACCCACTTGCAGGGGTTTAAGGCGCTGGTTTTGGAAAGAGGGCTTTGGTGGACCATTCTGTCTGTGGAGTCTGTACTGCAGCAGCTGATGGAGAGGGAGATGCAGGCAGCCAGCAGCTAACCCCAGCCACCAAACCACCCAGCAGTGCTCCCAGGCTTCCTCTCTCTTATCAGCACAGAATGAAAATACCAGCTAAAATAAGAGAAAGGGAAGGGAAAAACTAGAAACAGCTGACACCAGATGAGGGGGGTGCAGAAGGATGGGGCTAGCCCCATTCCTCACCCCCTGCCCAAACCTGACCCAGCACCCGCCAGTGCTCACACATGGCCCCTTGGGCAATGCCACCCTCCTTCTCTCTCAGCCAGGAACCCACAGCTGGATGTTGACAAACACAAACAGATGTGTTGAGGCTGTAACAGGGTCCAGCTGGGAACTCAGTGCAGCCCTTGAGGGATGTGTGCTGGGAAGATGCTCCAGGGGTGCTCCCATCCCAGTGCCTTGGCCATGGTGCTCTGCATGGCTCTCACCTCCCCTCTTCAAGGCAGGCAAAGCCGGGTGCAGGGGCCTGACTGCCCAGGCAGGCTCAGTTTGGAAGCAGCCCAAGGGCAGCAGACAGGACAGCGGGGTAAAACCGCAATGTCTGCTGGGGAAGCGGAGCAGGGGAAGGGCTGTGCCAAAAGCAACAGCAGTCTGGCGAGCTCCGTGTTTGCTGTCCTCCAAGATGCTGGCCATGGGGCAGATGGGCTCTGCCCTTTCCTTCACTGAGCATCTGCCTTGACCTGCCAGGTGCCTCTGCGGGTGCTGGCACCACCACATCTGCCAGCAGGAAGAAGGCTGGATTGTACTGCGCTTGCCTGTTCAGGCCAGTTAAATCTCACTAGCAGCAGCGGGGAGGATGAGGCAGCATGAACCTTATCAGGTCCTTACTGGCCACCACAAACACAGGTCCCCATGAGGTATGGGTGTGCTCAGCCTCGCTGCTGTTTTCTCCCCAGCGTTAGTGGCACATGGGCAAGCTCACACTACTATGGATGTGTCAGCACAAGCCACTGTCAGACCTCAGTGCCGCTGCATGGACACAGCCCCAGTGATGGAAACAGATGTGAATGAGCTGCAGGATCCCTCATCCAGCTCCCTCTGTACTTGAAAGGGTGGATGCTGGGGAGCGCGGGCGCAGTGAGCTGCCAGCACTCAGAGCACCCTCAGACCAGAGACTCATCTTCAGAGGAGGTGTCCCAGTTCCAGGGTTTCCAGGGACTCAAATGTCAACACCTGAGGGAGAAATGACCTTGGGAAGCGAGTCTCCACACCAAGGAAGTGGGGAGAATCCTGTTTTGGGTGTGTTCAGTTAAGCTGCAGCTCATGCGTTTGGACCTTCCAAGGTTTGGTTGGAATCTGCATAATCCTGAAAGGTCAGGATTTTTTCTGTAGCAAATCCATTGGAGACAGTGAACTGCGCACTCGTGGGGATGGTTGGAGAATGTTTGTTGGTGCCACGGTGGGGCCCTGGGCACATGAGAAAAGGAGCAACAAGAACAAAACCTCCCTGTGCAGCCATGAAAACCTCCCTGTGAAGCAGGGCCAGGTGCTCAGTTTCTATCTCAGTTTTGGTCTTGGTGGAAAGGAATGGACTGAAGTCACAGGGGCTGCACTCAGCCTGCGGCACAAACCCGTCCGAGCGAGAAAATTACATGGTAAGGCTGCCAGGGTGTCCTGACTTCACTTCACCAGGTCTGGGCTTCGGGGCTGTGATCCACTAGCCCCTGACCTGCAGCTGGTCCAGCGCTTTGCCAGAGCTTCAGCATTTCCTGATCATTGAGCAGGTGGTGCTTACTGTGTGGGATGCTTGCCTCAGATGATGCCTCTCGTGCAGGCTGGTTTTGCCCCATGGGGTGGGGAACCTATGGGTTTCCCACCACTGACCCTGGGTGCATTTGGCAAGGAGGTCACAGCTGATGCTTGGCTCTCAGGTTTGGGTCTGTGTCGATTCCAGCTGACTCAGTGAGGTGGGCCCTTCTTTCCATTGACCTGTTGGATCCTCTCACGTCAGCAGAGTGCAGTGAGACCATCACACACCCACAGCTGAGAAATGAACTGTTAGCAAACATCAAATTAACCGTGCTCTGGATTCGAGTCGTTAAGTGGATTTCTAAACTTAGCCCTTAAACTTACAGTGAAGAACCTTCATGTGAAGCTCCTGTCCGCAGCACTCAACTTCAGAGGCATTTATTTCTAGAGCTGGCAAAAACATTTCTCGCCTTTCAAAGGCTCCAATTATATCTTGGTGCTGGCTGGAGCCAGTGGTCTTCATAGCTGCCTTGTAGGACTGCTGGTGGGCACCACAGCTCCGACAGTGACAGGGGCAACAGGAAGAGAGGTGTGAGGGCTGACACCCACCTATTGACCACAGAGACCCCATCGGCCTCGAGGGACACCTTAGTTAATACCCCAAAACAAGCAGGTTTTACTTCATGCCACAAAAGCAGGTTTACCTCTTGAGCATGGGATTTGACTTTCCCACACCTCTTCCTCCAAGGCTCAGCTTGGTTCAGAACATTTACAGGGAGCTGGTCCGAGTTAGCGAGGAGGAGGACTCTGAAGTCCCCAGTCTTCAAGACTGATCTCAGTTGGGTTGCAGCTCAAAGGCGTGTTTCACTCCAGGGAGATCACAGATAACTGTACAGGAGTTCAGGCTGGGTTTTCCTGCATCACAAGATGTGGAGATCAAATCTTCTGATCTCTGAGTCAGAAGGAAGATCTCCTCCCAGGAAGCGGGAGGAGAAACCAAGTTATGGATGCGTTGGACCTCTACACTGCTCTAGAAATGCAGAAGGATGTCAAAAGCCCAACTTTCCCCCCCTGCCAGGGTGGGCAGCAGAGCGGCTGGAGCTGTTGGTGGTGTTTGGGGAAGGACTTGGGGAAAGCTTCTGCAAAGCTGGAAATGATCCTTTCTGCCAGTTCATAAGAGGGCAATATTTTACTGGAGCAACAGAGTTTGTGCATTACCTGGGAAAAAGTTTTGTTCAAACAGGGCTTTTCTTCTCTTTTATTTTACCACAGTACAGAGAAGGATTCTGCTATGGAAAGCCACATTGACTACCTCCAGGCATAGGGATGCTCAGGGACCACAGCAAAGGTCAAAGCCCTGCTCATGTCACCATGTGCAGCCTTGAACCATGGCTGGTGGGTGATGCCCGAAGCCAGGAGACGGAAGAAACAAACATGACAGAGAAATCCTGCAAGTCCCGTTCTGGCTTATTCTGGAGCAAGCTGCTGTGTCCGTTGGTTTTAGAAGCACCAGTGGGTGTGTCTGCCAGGAGAGCACTGTGAGCTCTGTGATTTATCTCTTTTTATTCCTGACGCTCATTAAAGTGAGAATTGGCCGGCCGCTGCTTACAGAATCATTACGCATCCAGCTGAGTGCATGTGCAGATTGTTGGCTCGCTGTGCTTTGGCAGCTGGGCCAGTCTGGCTGCAGGATATCACGCCTGACAGGGATACAAGCTCCTTTCAGTTCCTGGAATTCAGATTGTCCCACGGAGTGCTGATTAAGCGGTGCTTTCAGCCTGCCCCCAGGACAAAACCCTTGCCTGGTCCCCATGCAGGGGCTGGGGGCTCGGCTGCTGTGTGGCAGTGGGAGCTGCAGTGGGTTTGCTCTGCCCAGGGAAACAAACGCTCCAAGCCAATCTCAGATGCAGAGCTGTGCAGTTCATGGTGCTGGGTGCCCGCCCTGGCAAACCCTCCCAAATCTCTCCATAACACAGCCCCAGTGCCCTCCCCACCTCTGTGTGCAGCTGCTTCTCCCAGTCTGCCCAAACCACGTTTCCAGTCTGCCCAGTTACGATTGCTGCTATGTGTCCCCGTCTGCCTTTCTAATCCGCTGGGAACGAAACAGCCTTTACCAGCCTTACTAATGAGAGATTTGATATCTGGGGTTGAATGGAGGAGGCAGCCCTGGCATGTGCTGTCCTGGTGCAGTACAAACGGCTGTCCTGCTGCCAGCCCTGGAGCTGGCGCTCACCTCTGCATATGTGAACATGAACTAGGGGTGTTGGTAGGACTGGCAAATCGGGGATGGTGCTTTGGCTGGCACCTGCAGGGGGGTGGCTGGTGTTTAGGGTGGTCTGATGCTGGGGAGGGGAAGCTGAGCTGATTAAACACTACAGTGGGCAGCCTGGGAAGCTGGTGGGCTCTGGAAGCCATCCAGACACCCTGTCTTGACCAGCACTAGCATCCGTGGCACGATACGGCAGGCCCTCAACAGCATCCTCAGCCCCACAGTTCACGGGGTGCTGCTGCCTTCTGCACTATGGGTCCCCTCCTGAGGCACCACAGAGAGAATGGAGATGCCTCAGCAGTGGTTTCCCTGTCTCCTCACTGGAGCACACATCATCCCACCTGCTGGGTGGGGAGTGGATGGAAATATCCCTCGGCCATTCCCCCAGCCATTCCCTGGGGGCTGCAGCATCTTGAGTTGCTTTATGGGCAAGCAGGTGCCAGGAAAAATACACACGGGATTGTTTCAGCAGAGGCTCACAATAGAGTGAGGCTGTGTTAATACAGCACATCGGCTCAGCACCTGGGCACTATTCCTGCTCCATGCTTGGGTCTGCTCCTCTCTTAGCTCCTGGTTGGCTCCTGCTGCACAGTGGGTCTCTGGGACGCTGGGTGCAGCTGATCAGGCTCTGGACTTGCTGTGAGTCCCAGCATGGGGCAGGAGCTGTTTGCCTGGGATCCTTGTCCCATTCAAACCAGTGACAGCAAGAAGCTGCTGCTGTGGGACTGCCTTCTCCTCCCTGTACCATCCCGGCAGCGTCCCTGTGTCCCTTTCTGAGGAACAGCTTTTCCCTGGGCCTGTGCTGGTTTCAGCTCCATGTCTCCTTCTCTGTGTCTCCTGCCCGCTCAGGAGGGGGAGTTTGGCCTTGGTGCTCCCCTTCATGCAATCAAAACTCCAAATCCTGGCTCCAAACCCACCTGTGCCCTGGTGAACCCAGTACGCACCTTGCTTATCTGTGGCCCCGTGGCAGGGGGGGGGGATGACGGCAGCGAGCCCCGCTGCAGCTCACACCAAGTGCAGAGGGAGGAGGAAGAGACGTGAGGGGCATTGCAAGCAGTCCTTCCAGCCTGCCGGCCTCACCTTGCTGTGACCTGCAACAGTTCAGCTGGCCCCAGGCACCGTGACCGCTTGGGATGCTGTAGGGAGCACACCTGATGCCGCAGGATTGTCAGCGGCTTTCAGACTCGTGCAGTCACTTCCCCTCCCTGAGGACAGACACTTGGACACCAGCGCAAGCCTGAGGCGGCGCAGCAGATCCCTGCGATACCTTTGGCTGGGCATCGCCAGGGAAAAAACCCTCCTCCGTTTTCTGTAGCTGCCGCCCAGATGCAGCCGGCCGGGGGGGTGAGGAGGTGACAGAACCGTGAATGTCCCAGAGCAGGTTAAACTCCCATCCGGCAGCAAACGCCCTTGGCTGTCTGATGGACGGGTGGGCTGGGCTTTGCTCGCTCCCCCCCCGCCAGCATCTTGCAGGGCTCTGTGTTGCTGCCAGCCCGCCCGTGTGAGGAGGCACCCGGCAGCCTATAAATGCCCGAGCGCGGGGCTCCTTCATGACCCTCTCCGGGGGCAGTCAGGATGCATCAGGCGCTGCAGCGGGCTGCCCGCCGGGGCTAAGCTAAACCCCTCCTGCAGCCGCCGCCGCAGGTTGGTCGCGAAGGACAACTCCACCGGCTGCCGGCGCCGGGCTCTGCTCAGCCCTCAAGGTATGTGTTTGGAGCACAACCTCCCCGCTGCTCCGAGGAAGGCTGGCAGGGATGCTGGGAAGTGCCAGGCAGACGCCGGCTGACAGACGGGGGAATATTCCATTCATTCATTTCTTTTCATTTAGAACTCTTTTAGAAAGGCAGAAAATTCTGCTTTTGGCACTGATTTGTCTTCCCCTGAGGGAAGGAATCGTCAGAATTTGTCACTGGTGAAGAACTTTGCCGTGCATTTCTTTACCTGTATGAGATTTCCGTTTGTGCTGGGGATTTATTCAACACACCAAACATGTGGGAAGTTACAGGGCAGGAGGCTGCAGCGAGTTTCTCAGCAGGATCCTATTTAACCGCTGCCTGACAGGTTCGTGCAATGGCTGAAAAGATGGGGAAGGTTTTGTACTGATTTCATTCTTTAAAGGAAACAAGAAGAAAACCAGGTCCTCAGACATCTCCCTGCCGGGCTAGCATGACTGTGCTCCCCTTGCCGCTGCTCCTCACTGCTGTGGGCTTCTGGATGCCACAAGAGTCCAGCTCCCGGCTGCTGCTCAACGACACCGAGCCCCTGTCCCCTGCCGGGAGCAGAGCCGCGGGGCTGCTGTGGGGCGCGGGGGTCCCCCGGGGCAATCCGAAGCGGTTCCTCTCCCGCCGCGACATGAGCATGATTTTGGACTACCACAATCAAGTGCGGGCGCAGGTGTCCCCCCCCGCGGCCAACATGGAGTACATGGTGAGTCAGGCTCCAGTAGAGTATCTCTGGGTCCTTGGTGGGGTCAAGGGGCTCACCTGGGATGTGGGTGCCCAACCTGGTAAGGATGGGGCACCCACACATGGGGATGTCAGGGTTTGTGGCTGTCATCTGTCATGGGGGATGTTCCATGTCCCTGGTGCAGGGCAGGCACATGCAGTCTCTGTGCAGGAGGGATGGAGTCCTAATGGGGTGATGCGTCCTCCCAGGGGCAGATTTAGGACCCCTGGTCCCATGCCTGAGCTTCCCAGCTGTGGGATGGCTGCCCCTGGGCTTTTCCCAGCCTGATGTGGCTTTTGGACACTGGTGGGTGCTCCCTGAGCACAGGAGAGTGGGTTTCTCCTCTTCCCTCCTCTGGGCAGTCAAAATCCCTGCCTGCCCTTTTCCTTTCCTCCTGGCCAGGTCTGGGATGAGCGGCTGGCCAGGGCAGCTGATGCATGGGCTGCGCGCTGCCTGTGGGACCACGGCCCCCCCGAGCTGATGAAATACGTGGGGCAGAACCTCTTCATCCAGTCGGGCAGGTGAGTGCCCCGCGGGCAGAGCGGGCTCCTGGGAACCCCCTGCACCCTGCGATGCTGGAGGAGGAGGAGCAGCAGCCGCCCCTCGGTCAAGAAGCAGGGAGGCTCTGAGCTGTAGTTGCAAAGGACTGAGAAGCAACCAGGGGCACATAAAGGCCCCCGTGGTGGAGATGGGGGGTCCAGCTCTTGCAGAAGGGTAAATATAGGAAAACAGAGGTGCTGAGCTGGGAGAATGGCATCAATCCTGTCTGCCTGGCACATGGACCAGGGGGATGCAGGTCCTGGAGCTCCACCAGGAAGCTGAGCACTCAGGGGCCTCAAGTGAGGGTTGCGTGTCCACCAGTTCCACAAGTGGACTTGGCACGAGGGTGTCGTTGCCCCTTCTCACTAGGAATGCCAAAACCCTCTTCTCTCCCCATTCCTCAAAGCAGAGCCTTCCCCTTCCTCTCCGTTGCCCATGAGCTCTGAGGGGGAGGAGGTCCACCTCACCCGCAGCATCTTTTGCAGGTCCATCTCCATCATCAACATGGTGAAATCCTGGCACCAGGAGAAGCAGCACTACTCCTTCCCGCACCCCCACGAGTGCAACCCCCGCTGCCCCTCCAAATGCAGCGGCTCCGTCTGCAGCCACTACACTCAGGTGAGCGTTGCACAAAGCCTCGGTGCAGGGAGCAGAGCTGGGATCTGGGATGGAATCCTGGCAGCAGGGCTGGCAGCAGGCACTCTGCCTGCTGGAAAGGTGCAGGAATGAATCCTGTCTGTGATGGAGCGGCTTTACAGCACCCGGCTGTGTCAGCAACCTGGAATGCAGCTCCTTCATCCCCTGGCACATCCACCAGCAGCCTGGCCAGCACAATATGGAAAACGTCCCTCTGCTTCCCAGTGCCAGTCCCTAAATACCTCCTCTGCATGGCTCCAACCCTTACCTGAGCATCTGCATCCTTGTGCAGCTCATCCATGGGGATGCTCAGGGACACTCTGGGTTGCAAATGGGCAAGACACTTTTTTAAGGAAGAAATTCAGCCTGGAGAGGCTTTAGGAGGAGCTTCTGGCACTGTTTGCTCTCCATGTGTGCAGGATGAGCTGCTGGCTGCGATTCGGGGTGACATTTGGGATCTAATTTGGGTAAATCAGAGAACCGACCCAGACTGCTGCTCATTGGAGTGAGCAGGGGGCAGAGGGGCTGCAGGCAGAAGACAGACAGTGAAAGATCACTGGTGACAAAGCATTGCCTATGACAGGCACAGGATCCAACCCAAGGAATTTGCTAGGCGGGATGTAATTCCATGGTGCGACGCAGCCCTGCGCTGTGGTCCTGGGGTGGTGGATGTTGGATGCCTGGGTGGACGGTCGCTGATAGCTCCTGCTCTCTGTCCTGGCGCAGATGGTGTGGGCATCCTCCAGCCGCCTGGGCTGTGCCCTCAGCACGTGCACCAATGTACGCGTGTGGGGCAGCACGCTGAGGCACGCCGTCCTCCTCGTCTGCAACTACGCCTTCAAGTGAGTGCATGGAGGGAACCCCCCCAACACCCTCGCTCTGGTGCTGGCGGTGGTGCTCAGAGGTGATGCTCTCCTCTCTTTTTAGGGGCAACTGGCAGGGAGAAGTGCCGTACAAGGTGGGGCAGCCGTGCTCAGCCTGCCCCCCAGCCTATGGCGGGGGCTGCTCCAACAACATGTGCTTCACCGGACTCAAATCCAACCATGTCAGTTGATTCTAGGGCTGCAGCCCCACGAGGAGCCTCCGGGAATGGGGATGGGGTGAACCGGAATTATTTATAACACTGACCCCCCACCAGCAGCCCGGCTGTCCAACCTGCTTCATCCCTAGTGTAGGAAACTGCTTTTATAAGATAAGATCATAATTTTTAGCATATTATATATTATTGTATATTATATATTTATATATTATATAAAATACTATATATTTTACCATTTATAATTATTAGCATATACATATGTTTCAGCAGCATTTGTGTTTTCTGGCTGCTTTCCACTTTGTGGGAAATAGGAATGGTTCAGGTCCCTGTTTGCTGAGACAGGGATGGTTTGAGGGTGTGTGGAAGGAGCAGGGCTGGCTGGCGTGGTCCCTGCTCTGCAGGCTTGGGGGTTTTGCCACTGCTCCCCACCTGTGCTAAGGCAGAGGCTGCTGTAGGTGAGTACCAATATGCTCCCCTTGAGGTGAGGAAGCTGGAGAAGTGGGGAGCCCCAGCTGTGTCCCCCCTCCATAGCACACATCCCCACACCATCCCACCGCCCTACCTCACCCCCAGCATCACTGAGCACCCTGTTATCCACATCCTCTCCCTCCCTAGGACCTCTCATCACTCAGCAAACCCAAGGGTCCCCAGATTCCCAGGCCTTGGCTGTGATTCCTGCGATGTGTGTGATTCCTGCTCACTGTGTCCCAGCGGCCCTCTCCTCACTTGCCCTGCTCCCATGCACGCTCCTTTGGGACTCCCCATATGCTTGGTATCATTCCAGCAACACTTCTTGCACATGGCCCTGCTTGCCTCAGCATGGAACCACCGGTGGCACAAGGAGCATTCCGGACTGTGAAGACCCCAGGGCTCCTCCTTGGTGCTGTGGTCCTGGAAGGAGCAGAGGTGTCCATGAGTGGCTGTGGAACCCTACAGGTCCCCTCGGTTTGGGAAGCAGAGAGAGATGGGAAGGAGCTGTGACTGCCCTGTGCCCCGGTGCTGTTCTCAGGGTACCACCCTGCATCCCACTGCAGCATCCCCATGCTCCCCATCCCCAAGTGACCCCTCCAGTTCCGCATGGAGTGGACAAGCCCTGGCTCATGACTGGGGCATTTTGTCCCCTGTGCTTTGTCCAGGCTCTGCTCTGCCCGTGCCAGCCCCACAGCTCATCCCACAGCCCCTGGTTCCCCAGTGTTTGCAGTGTTTGCCCCTTGCCCATGGGCAGGCTTTTCCCGTCACGGGTGAGCTATGGCACAAAACTGGCAGCACCCGGGATGCTGCGGAATCGGATTTGGCTTCCCTGTCCCCTGCAGCCAGGGGTGAATCCCAGCCCATCAGCTGCCCTGGCCTTGACACCGGGGGAAAATGGGAGCCCCAAAAGAGTCCAGTAAAAGCCATGTTTGAGTTTCTAGCTTGGTTACTATAGCTACAGCAACGGCACCTTGCAGATTGGTTTCCATAAGAGCTTGGTTACTATTTAACATCTCCACCCACATTAGCCCCGATTAAGCGAATCAGTAAGATAACAGGAGAGGCAGGTTTTCTCGCCCTGCCTCTCCGCGCTCCCTCCTGCCTTCACCTCGCTCCTTAGTGAAAGACATTTCTATTTATCTATTTAGATTTCCTTTTATTCCTCTACCTCCTCGGGTTTTTCCGCCCCAAGTCCCCATAGCAGTAGCCGGCGAGACATGGTCAATGTAAGCACCCAGCTAAGCGCTAAGATGGAGGCTCCATATGGTGAGTACAGCATTCCCATCGCCCGCGCTGCCGCCCCGGCGTCACTCGCGGGAAGCGGGGCTGGGAACGGGCAGCAGCCCCCAGCCCCACATCCCGGCCCCACCGCGCTGCCCGGCCCCCACCGCCTCAGGTACCTGGAGATGGAGGCAGGAAGAGGGTCCCCAATTGACCTTTCTGTTGTATAAATACATCTCTGTCTCTGTGCTTTCTCTCTTTCGCTGTGCTTGGCTCAGAGAAGGAGGCACGTGCGAAGGGAGCAGAGCTGGCGCAAGGGGCTGCTGCAGGGCTGGCTGGCAGCACAAGAGGAAGGGTTTAGAGAGGAGGTGACGCTGCCTTAGGACACGCAGCCAGCCCCGGTGCAAAGGCTGTGGTGCCCGTGGCATGCCAGGGCTGTGCGAGCGGGCACAGCGGGTGCCTGCCAGTGCTGCTGCTCTCACCTAGGGCTGGGGCTGGGCAGGTTCCCAGCAGGGAGCGTAGCGCCTGGATGAACAGCAGCCCCAGTGTCTGTGGTACAGAGCAGCAGGCAGGGAGCCTGGCTGCAGGGAGATGCACACCAGATCTGTGCCCATGCTCCCTGCACGGCACAGCAGGTACATGGGACAGCCCCATGCCACTGCTCTTGTTGGCTGTGCTAGATGCCTTCTGCCAACAAACACGGGCGCCAGGGGAGAGGTCCCCCTGCCCAGGCTGTCACCAGACCACTGCTACCCTCAAGATGGGTTCAAATGTGCCCATGTAACAGCTTACCTGCGCAGCAAGGGGCTGGGGCTGGTTCCATGAGATCTGGGAATCCCAGTTCCCTGGGCATGGCCAGCATGTGGAGGAAGGCCTCAGTAAACAAGGTCTCACAGTTGCGGGGTTCTCCGTCATCCTCATGGATCTCCATCACTTCCTTGTGGCTCTCCATCACTTCCTTGTGGCTCTCCATCACTTCCTTGTGGCTCTCCATCATTTCCTGGTGGCTCTCCACCACTTCCCTGTGGCTCTCCATCACTTCCCCTGGCTCCCCATCACACCCCATGTCTCTCCATCCTGGTACCTTGCCTCTCCTCACTGTATTTTTCATGTCCTGCTCCCCTTCTCCTTTATCACACCTCAGTCATGACCACACACAGCCCCACCAGCCCACACTCAGCCAGGTCCCAGGAGGGTTTGTGGGACTCCCAGGCAACCTCCTCGCACTTTGCCCATGGCCCTGTTCTGGGTGGTGCCTTCTCTTGCTCCAGGCTGCAGCCTCCTGTGGGTGCCACCTCCAGCCCTAAGCCCCAGGGTGCAAACCCAACCTTATTCCTGTAGTGAGCAACAGGCTTTGTCTGACAGACGTGATGCAAGGAGCTGAACAAGCTCTTTAATCACTTATGATTAAGTTATTCTGCCCACTTGTAGCTTGCTCCAGTGGGAGCAGCCACTTGCCCGCCCTGGCACATCAGTGACCTCAAGCACAGGCAGGCACACGTTGCCACTGGTTGGTCCTGATTTCTTGGTTTAATCCTGATTTTCTCCTAATATTTCAGCCTGAGGGTCAGTGATGGGCCACGGGGCAGGCGCAGGCAGGGCTGGGAACCACAGGGTGGCTGGAGAAGAGTCACTGCACATCCCACCATCTGCTCCCACGGCCAAAGCAAGCCATGGGACCACTGCCCGCGAGCCCGTCGTGAGGCTGAGCCTGGGGCCTTGCCAGGGGAAGAGAGGAAAATAATAATAATAGAAAAGCAAGAAGGGCCTCCCAGACCAAAGGGGGAGGAAGCTCAGCGTTGGCAGAAGGAGGGGAGTCCTCATAAATAAAACGGGTGAAAAAGTTATCCAAATAGAGGCGAGGAAGGGCTGGGGACTGGGCAGTGCCTAGCGGTACTGTGGGGCTGGGCTGTGTGGCAGGGTGGGCACAGCAGCCGGATGCGCCATGGGGCTGATGGCAAAGTGGTGGCCAAGCCCTTTCCAGGGTCACTGGGGAGATTATTCTCTTGGAAAACAACGGGATGTTCCAGGCAGTGGTGGTGCACTGAGTCCCACCAGTGCAGCCAGTCCCAGCCACCCCCAGGGCATTGCTGGGCTCAGCTGATGGTGCATACCACATCCACCAGATGAGCCTTCAGCCTTGGAGGGGTCATTTTCAGTTTCCTTTGACAGATAGAAGGACTCTCTGATTTTTCTGTCTCCCCATCTATGAGGGGCTTCAGCATTTCAGTACCCATTTGAAGCCAGGGTTATATTAAGGGGGAAGCTGGGTGCTGGCACTTGGCCTCAGGACAGCAAGCGGGTCTAGCCTGCTCTTTCCAGCAGTGGCATTGATAAGATCAGAGTGGGGCATCCACCCACTGCAGCTCCTTCAACCCTGCCCCAGATTGCCTGCAGCACTGTCCCTAAACCATACCTTGGAGGCACTGGTTTCTCTCCCATCAGACCTGTGCCTGGTGTAAAGGATTTGGAGGATGCTCTGCTGGAAAGGGCTCCTCCAGGCGCACTGAAGTTAAATCCCCAGGGGAGGCTGCAAATGAGTGTGTGAGAGGGTAGGGTATGGAGAAGGTGTAAGGGGCAGCAAGCTGGTGATGAGACCCCGGCTCCACCTTAGTTCCCCAAATGAGACTTGGGCACAATCCTGGCAATTTCCTTCAATCCCAGCATGGGCAGCACCTCTCCTTTTTATATTGGAAGTGTCTCAGAGCCAGGGATCCCCGGGGCCGGTGGTTACAGCGGGGCCAGCTCAGTAAAGCAGCCTTGGAAATCAGCTGAAAAACGCGAGCCATCGGAGCTGCTTGGGCAGTTTGGTCAGATGTGGGGAACAGCTTCAGCTGAAGAATGCGAGAGGAGGCAGAAGTTCTGAGGATTTTTACTTTTCACTATGAAGCAGCTATTTCTCATTGACAAATTGATCTAATTATAGCTTTACACTAGCTACTACCCAAACTGAGCTTTCCCCCTCTTGATTTCTCATGTCAGCTGCTATTTAATTCCTCTGTTTACTCCTTGTGCTCTGTGTCCATGGCACGGAGGCCATCAGGGACTCGTAAGTTTTGCGACACCCGCACAGGTCCTTCCCTGTTCCCACTCCTACCATCCCCACTGGCTGTCAGTGGTGTTTATAACACTGGCAGGGGCAGCACTTACCGGGGCAAGAAACCGCTGAGCAGGGTCTTGCTGCACCCAGAAATAAGCCCTGGTATTCAGATGGGATGCAGAAGGAACAATCACTGCTTAGCTGCCTTGGCTTGATCCTGAGGCTTAGGGAAGAGGATCTCCTTGGGGAAGAGCAGGGGATGCTCCGCATCGCTGGGAGCTGCAGGGATGCTGCTCGGTGTCAAGACAGTGACTGCGGTTGTATGCAGGGCTGCAACTTCCACCACACCGGGGCAGCCGTCTCACCCCAGCACTTACCAGGCGGCAGCACGCCCTGGTCTGCGGCTTCACTTGGAAACACGATGGTAATTTACAATGGGAGTGAGCACAGAGGGCTGGGGTGAGCTCCAGCTCTGGGAGGTGAGCAGCACGAGGCCTGGGAAGGCTTGAGGAGCGGCTGGTGTAGGTGTGTGGGTCAGACAGGCTCGGTTGGTCTTCTGCTGACATTTCTCGAATGGCATTAAAATGATGTTTGTCTAAAGCGAGCGCAAAGGGGTGGTGAGCGATGGTGGTCCCGCAGGCAGCAAGGTCTGGGTGATCTTCTTTGAAATACAGCAGTATTTGCAGTGGGATCGTGGCCAGCAGTGGGCACAGGCAGAGCCAAGGGGTAGCTGGAGCAGAGGGGTCACCTACAAGTGTCTCTGTGGTGGGCTTGGGGGTAGAGCAGGGCAAAGAGTGCGAAAAAACATCCATGACTGTTTGTGTTCAGGCTCCCCCTCTGTTTGCTTTCCTCAAATATTGGAGCAAACAACGTTCCTGGCAGAAATGTTTGTGGAAAGAGCAAATGTTGCAGAATTTCACGAAAGGCAAATTTCAAGGTAGTGGCTGTATCACGAACCCAAGGCTGATGGCTCTGCACTGGGCAGAGGCGCCACATTCCCACTGGGGCCTCTGAGCAAAGCCAGGTCCCAGAAGCAATTACGCTGAAGGAACGAGCCCCATCCAAGCTTCAGCCTGAGCATCAGCCAAAATTATCCAGCAAACCCCTTCAGGAAAGACTAACGGTGCCAGTCAAAAACTAACAGTGGGCTCTGGATGATGCACTGAAGCAGCTCCATACAGAGCAAGTGGCTGTGGAAAGACACCAATAGCTGAGGAGCAGCTGGATCCTGGCTCCAAAAAGCTGAAGTGCCCACAAGGCAGGACCGGACTTTCTATCCCAAAATGCTGCAGCCACTGGAGGGACTCTGGCTGCATCCCCATGGCACCAGGAGCCCCAGTGCTGAGGGGTGGAGGGGGACCTGGGAACCATCACCATGGGCTCAAGCCCTCTGAGCCCCCCAGCACCAAATGTCCCTGCAGGCTCAGCTAGTGCTGGCATCTTCTGTTGGGAAGAGGACTGGAGGTGGCAAATGGGTGCTACTGTGTGCCTCCTGCTGTGGGTCACCACACACTGGCCATCTCCTCTGCAATGGGAGCCCTGACACATTCTCCTTCCCTGCACAACCAAGCTGGTTTGATGCCCTGATTTTCATCACAGCTCTACAGACCTCTGACCGTGCTCATCCCACCGCAGCCTGCCTTTGCTGTGGCTTTACCCATCCACTCAAAACCCCTCTGCCAGGGAAGGTGGCTCAGCCCCTGCCACCAAGCATGGGGCACCCAAACTCACCACCGTGGGACCAGTGGGCACCTTTCACCTGCCTCTGCATCAGAAACCTTTTCTGGCCATGGGTGTGTGTGAGATTTCATAGGCGATAACCCCTGGGAAAGTGGGAAACGCAAGGAGAGTTGTACACTCAGCTTCCTGGCGTGGCCCAACGCTCTGCTCAGGAGAGCCAATGTCAACAGATAGGCCTGAAGGAAGGAGCAAAACCAAATACATGAGCACTTCGCCGAACAAGAGCTGTAAAACCTGCACAGACCTGAACAAGTGCCACAACACTCTTTTATACAGTCAGAATCAATAGTCAAGCCCACTCAAGGTGTTTGCTGACACATAAATGACAGCCACCATGCTGCATTTATGGCCCAGTGCTGCTCCTCCTGTCCCATTCAGCCACTTCTCTCCCCACCGCTGCTCCAAGGGGAGGCTCAGCATTTTGCTGCGTGGTCCCCAAAGCCTTGATACCCCATGATAAGAAGCTGCTGCTCATCCCCAATGTGCCAGCCTGCCCCGGTTTCCAACTGGCTGGGCAGGACCTGCATCCCACCCCATCACCAGGATGGCATGGTATGTCCCACTACCTCCTCAGCCTGGGAAGAGGATGCACTGATGCTAACGTCACCCGAGGAAATTTGACCATGGGCTCTGAGGCTGGGCAGGATGTCAGGTTAATGGATAGGGCAACACTGTGGGGCTCAGCAGGAGGCATAATATAACAACTGCCCCATGGAAAAAAGCCCTGCCTGTGCTGCAAGCCCCCATCCAGCAAGCTGTGTGGCCTCTTGCTTGCAGCCACCATGGCACATGAGCAGGTCCTGCCCCAGTGACGAGCAGACTCAGCCAGATCAAGGTGCCCCAGCAGGAAGGAGCAGAGAGGGCATTGATGGGTGCTCAAGGGAATCAGCCATAGGCAGGGTAAAGATAGCACTGGGAAATGAAGGGTGGAATAAGGAACAGGAGGGACAAGGGGACGAAGAGCCAGACTTCAGATCCACAGCCTGGCTGCTTCCCTCCCTAGAGTCTGCTGCCATCAGGGACCAAATGGTGGTGGAATGGAGGTGGTAGCTTTGCCACCCCATGGATACCCTGGTGGAAGCAGAGGCAGGTGCTGCCTGCAGCTCATCCATGGGTGTTCTCAGGGACTGCCACTGTCTGAGAGAAATCTCTGTTGACCTGGGTGTGTTTCTGTGCTGCAGGCATTGAAACCTGTGTGGAAACGGAGGGGTGAAGAGAGGTGTCATGGGGTTACGTACAGTTCAGCCCCAGCCCTGCCCCTGATGCTGCTCCCGGCTCCATGTGGGCAAGCTGGGCATTAGCACACCCCTTCCCTGGGCATGGAGCCGATGTACGGACTTGTGATCATTCCCCATCCCTGACTCATCAGGAGTCTTCTGGCAGCTGCCAGCCGCATGCATTCCAATTAATATGAATGCACTACAGGCAGCCCTGGGTGGGAGCCGCAGAGATGGGACAGGAATGGTTTAGGAATAGTTTGGCTCCATTAGACTTACACCTTTGAGATGGTGCTCAGGATCCAGTCCAGCGTCTCTGGATGGCAGGAACGAGCTCTCTCCTCCTTAGCACAGTGAAAACGGGTAGGCTTCGTGGGATGAAAGCCATCAAGGAGGAAGGAAAGTGCAGGAAAATGGGTGTTTCAGATGGGCTTGGCCCCAAGATGGTTCTTCTGGGTGCGGAGGTCATGCTCGCTCCTGGCCATGGTTGGGGCACAGGGTTGCATTGCCAAGGTGCCCAGTTCTCCCTTCCAGCAGTCAATGTATTGCTCAGTGCCTATGAACACCCAGTGAAGTGCCACACTAATCCTACACCTAATTTTCCTCCTCTGGGCCAAGCAGAGCCCCATGTGCTGGCACACACACTCCCTGCAGAGGAGAAACATGTCTGCGGGACAAAACTCAGTGCTGCCCAAAGACAGGGAGCACCAGGCACACAGCTTCCTCTGCCACCCTGCTTCATCCCCGCATCCCCATCCCTGAGTGCTATGGTGGTGTCTGGGAGGGACGACAAAGGTCATTTCTCAAGGATATGGTGCTCTGGGTATTTATATAGAAACATCTTAAAGTGAAAGCGGGCAGCCTCTCCCCAGAGCAGGAGTCAGACCCGCTCCTGCTGTTAAACACACCCAGGCATGCTTTCTGGAGCAGCCTCTGGAGCTGCCCTGCACAAACCCAGCAGTAGGCCTGAGGCCAGGGTGAGGGCACCTCAGAAAGGTGGCCCAGAAAGCAGCCTGTGGGCACTGGCAGCAGGGCACAGACCCAGAGCCACCTTATAATTCCCCTCCGGGTAGTAGCCAGAAGCCTTTAAAATCTGCGGCTCTGCGGCACGAACTCCTGTTCCCCATCAAATCTCATTGTGACCAGCATTAAGGGATTAGCTGGTCCCTGCTGCCACACCACAGCCAGCTCTGGGCATGGCTCATGCCCTGCTGCCCACGGGGGGCTTGCTGGCTGCACGGCCCCATCCCAGGGCGAGACTCCCCTAGCTTGGCCCGCAGAGAAGATGAATGGCAGCACATACAACCTGCTCCAGGAAACACCAGGTACCCACTACGCTCCCGCTGGCACTCGCAGCAGGTAGAGAAGTAGCTGCAGAGGCGATGTGAATGAAGGGCATTGGCAACCCCCAGGGTCTCCAGTGGGGTTTCAGAGCAGCAAAATATGCTAATCCCCCACATACATATCGCTGGTCCCCATCAGAGGGGACCCCGATGTCCCTGGTTTCTGTTTTGGCTTCTGGGTGGTGGTGGTTGTTGTCCCCAAGCTTGATTCTAGGGCTCTGGAGAGATACCCCAACTTGGGAGCATGGTGGGGTGGGTGCTGGGACTCCTGGGGGAAGAGATGGTGGAAACAGACTGGTGTCCCACAGACACCCTGGCTGTGTCATTTGGGATATGAATCGGTTGTCCTCAGTTCAGTTCCCAGTGCCCGTCATCACCCAGGCCCAGGGATGCGCCCTGCCAACCTCCAGCACAACTTCTGGTCCTGCCCTGTTTTACTGCCTTAGCTCCTTAGCCAGAGGTGTGCAGTGGGGCTTCCCCAGCCCTCATAATCAAAGCGTAAAAGCAACTAAAAGAGTTTCAGTTCTGGCTGCACAGAGCTCTTACAGGAAAGGGTTTTTTTGGGTCCCACTCCAGCTCAAGTCCCCTGCAAGCCAGCTCCCACAGGGACCACAGCGAGGAAGCTGACTGGACTCAGGGTGCTGCAGGCAGCAGAAGCCCCAGCAGCATGTCCAAACTTGGACATGTTTGGTGCATCCCAAACCCAGGACTCTTCTAGAGCCCCATCCACAAAACACCCCAATAGCCCCTGCCCAACCCTGAGGCACAGCAAAAATCCTGGGGCTCCTCTTCCTTGAGCAATTCCCCCAAGCAGGGCTTGTGCTGACAATGGGGTTTGTGCCTCCTGGGGCAGCCTGCATCCCAAATCACCATCCCGTGGGATGAGTTCCCAGCAGCAACCCACAGGGAGCCACGTGCTGAGAGCTGCTCCCAGCAAATACCTGTGCTCTTTATCAGTGGCGATTGATTTAGAAAAGTTCATGGTTGCCGAGTCCCATGATTGGTTTATTAAGAAATGGCTCATTTAATCAAATGATGTAGTTTATGGTCATAATATATTTTAATTTCTTTATGATACAAGAGGCCAATGGCACTGGGCCTTTCAGGAAAGTAAAGGGATAAATAATAGCGTTATCCTGTCTTGGAGACATAGGTCAAATGCTCAGAGGCTAAATAGCTGTTTGCTATGTTGTTTGGTAGCTGGGAGCCAGGCAGTTGGCACTGCAGTGTCATGCCCATGCGTGATCTTATCCCCTCCCCATGCAACAAACCTCGCCTGTAGAAAGCTCCCCTGTTCCCGTACCTTGCTTGCAGCTGTGTGTTTCTGCGGCAGTAAGACAGGACGCTCTGTTGAATGGGAGGTGCTGTGGTGGCCACAGGCTGCAGGGGTGCGAAGCTGCTGTGGACGTGAAGCTCCAGGGTGCTACTTTGCTCCCACTTACCCCTCTGGCACTTGCTGTGCTCTGGTGACTGAGGACACTGGGCACAAGTGCCTATTCAGGCACTCTGCCCACTCCTGCGGAGAAAAAGCGTTTAGCACTGACTTGTTCCCTTCTGACTCCAGAAACCAGAATCTCTCCAATTTCAACTTACCACTCCTTGCTTTCTTATTTTTCCCCCATGCCCAGGCTACCTTCCCCAGTTCAGACCTGACCTGTGCTCCCACCTCCAGCAACCCTACACCTTCCTCATGCTGCCTTCCACCCCTTTCCTGAGATGCTCCCCCAAAGTTCATCTTCCCACCCAGGTTGACTTTTCCAGCAGGAAGATGCTTTTTGCCTTTGAGGAGCCCTTGACTTGCCTGCCTTTGGGGATACAGGCTCAGACTTGCCCCACTGAACAATCCCTCCACACCTCCAGCAGCTTTGGAGTCCTTTGCCTTCATTACTAGTGAGGGCTGATCCCGAGAGCCCCAGCAGTGACTGGGGCTCAGTCCCCATCTTGGCTTGCTGCAGCATCCACATTTGCAAACTAGAGAAAAGCAGCTTAAAAAAAGAAAGGTAAAACTTGCTTTGTTGATTTTGGCTGTTCTCCACCCATTGCTTCACCAGCTGGAGTGATTCAGGGCTGTTTCATGTATGTATAATGAATGTAGAAGTCAATGAAACCTAAATCCCTTGCAAAGGGGATGACAGGGGTGAAGGGAGAGGATCTCCAAACTGCCAAATTGGGTGCTCTGTAGGGCTCTTTTTCTCTGGGAAGTTATAAGATTACTTCAGTTACAAAGGCATTATATTAATCTGCTAAACAATTCCAGATGTGGGCTGCTGAGATCCCTGGCACACTGAACATGTGAGCTGGTGAGGCATGGAAAGCCATAGGTGCTTCTTGCTAGCAGCAGACCCTCTCCAGCGCTGCTGATTCCCCATGGCTTCTGCTCTCCCATTTAAACTGGGCTTAAATGGCTGGATTCAAGCTGAGCATCTGCCAGTGCAGTGAACCTGAAACAGCACGTGGCAAAGTCAGAGCCTTCCCAGGTTTCCTCCCACATGAGCAAGAGGGTGTTTTGCTGAAAAGTGCTGGATTGTGGTTCAGATGGAGCACAGCACTTGCTTTAGTGGTTTAGGTGAGGCAAACGGGATCAGAAGCTGGAGCTGTAGCTCAGAATGAGTTACAGACTATGGGGTAATGCAAGATGAATCAACAGTTCTTCTTCCTCGCTTGGTCTGAGAACAGTTCACACTTACTGTCCTGGCAAAGCAACAGTATTAGTAATGACTTCCTCAAGTGCTCAGAGTCTTTGTTAGGCAGGATAATAAACCCCTTTCTGGTCCTGGGATGAAAGCAATGCACAGTGTTATCAACATATGCTGAAATGGTCTGTCTGTCCTCATGTTCGCACTTCTTTTCCTAATGCTTTTACATACCAGCTTTTTATTTTAGCTCCAGTAACTGCCTCCAGCTCCATCATTCATCCCAGCTTTGGCTAAAATGCGCATGTTGCTTTTGGAGAGGAGTTCAAGCAACCTCCTTTGAAGTATCTCTTTCCCCATGTCCAAAAACTGCCTTGATTCTCCATATGGTGATTTTATGTCCTGGGGGCAGTTTTGGTTGGCTTGGCCACTTCCTGATAGATGTGGCATTGGTGAGAAATACCTGAGGTTGAGGGGAAGCTACCCCCATCACCCTGAGCGGTTCTGGGGAGCTCAGGGTACCACTGCATGTCACAAGCTCACCAGTGACAGCATGGCTGAGGTCTGCTCAGGCATCGTCTGTCCTGGACATTGTCCCCAGCTCCAAGCAGCATCTGTGCCAACCACAGCACTAGGGAAAATGAATCACCAAGAGTGATCTGGTTTTGCACAGGAAGATGAAATGCCTGTGTCTTCCCTCAGGCACCAGGTCTGGCACATGGCTGTAGTCACCTCCTGCCTCTCAGGGCTGGATCTTTTTGATCCATGTCTCTGGATGCAGGTGGTGGACCTCTCCGGTTCACCTCCACAAGGTGTTTTGCTGGGGCAGAGACATGTTCTGTGAAGCTGGCAAGGACCAAACAGACCCTGAACAGCTTCTGCTGAATCATCAGTTTTACTGGAGACTTCTCGCTGCTGCTGGGGACGTTGTGGGGATGGACACAGGCACTGACCCCAGCTGGGTGTCCATTGTACAGCTGCCCAGAGGCAAAGACCCTCTGCTTGAACTGGGGCTTGTTTCAGCTGCACTGACCTGCACCCCCCCCAGACCCTGCCAAATTCCCTGGAGATGCTTTTAATGCACTGATGACTTTGCTCCGGAATCATGGCATGGCAGAAGTCAGAAGGGTTTGACAGTGTGGCCTAAATATCCCTGTTTACTAAAAGTCTGACAAAACATGAGCCCTTGGCTTTATCTTTCCCATTTGGAAATAGCCACAGAGCAAATATACTTAAGGCATGAAGGGAGGGGGATTTACATTGACTTTAGAAAAAGCTGTTCTTTAAAAACAGGAAAAAAAAGCTCATCCTCGAGCTGTGTAGACTGGCTGATAGACCCAAAAGTCCTGCGTGGAGGCTTAAAGCCTGCCTGCTAATCTGTGGCAATGCTGTGTGAGCAAGTCATGCAGTAAACTGCTCTCTGTTAATTTTTTAATGTAGAATAAACAGGTCAAGAAATGATTAGCATGAGAGTAAGTTGAGCTTAATCAGGAGAAGCAAAAGAGATGAGAGGGAAGAGGCAAATTGGAGTTATCAGTTAACCATATGGAGTGGCTTTGCCTCTACCAGCTCATGTTCCCTCTAATTTTTCATCTCCTTTGAAGCCGCCTTTTCCCCCCTTCCCTAAGTTAAATGATGAGCTAAAATTGCTGATATAAGCACAATGGAAGCTCTTGTTTCTCCTTCTCGTTTTCTATCTGCAATGGCTGCCCAAATGAATTGCAGGTGATAAGGTTCCTACCTGGTTATTCCCGATGGTCCTTCCCATTCCATGAGGAGAAAGGGAGCTGCTGATGTTTAGGCTGAAACACACAGAATCCTCTTTATGCAAGTACGAGCACTCTGCTCCAGTGCAAAAGGAGTGATCCCAGCAGATCCAGGGGCTGAGCGGAGGCATCTGCGGGCAAGGGGAAGAGCAGCCCTCGGGACTGCTTGGAGTGGAGTTTGGTCAGTGGTCGGAGATCTATATTCTCAGATAGGCAGGACTTTGTCCACAAACTGGAATTTGAAATTTCAAAGGGGAAAAAAAAAAAAAGGCAGAAGGGACCTTTGCATGTGTGGAGACGACTGCGCCGGTGACGCTGCCCTGGGACTCCTGGCCTTTGTCTTGTAACTGGGCTTTGTGCTTCCCAACCGCTCGCTTGGCAAAATGGTGGTGGGATGAGCATGGGCCTTGACCTTGTTCAGGGCTCTCCTGCTCTGGAGAGTTTTCAGATCCAAGCCCATCTCTGCTTTGCTTGCGTGCCAAGGAGAAGCCACTGCAGTCCACAGTGGCCTTGGAGCTGTGGGACATGGGAGGAATCCGAAGTCAGGGCTACAAGAGGCAGTGGTGGCATCACTCGTGTAAGGAGTGATCCTCTGCCAGGGATTTCTTAAGAGTGAAGAGCTGTGAGAAAGAAAAGCAAAGGGCAGGAGGGCCCCAGGCTCCTCACTGCTGCCTGGTCACTATCCATGCTCAGATAGCTGCAGGTGACCCCAGAATGGGGGATCTCGTCAATTCTGGAGGGCAGGAATGGGCCAGCAGGACCTGCAAGATGCATAACCCACATAGGGGCACTGAGGAGATGTGGCCAGGCTCCTTACAGGGTGCGTGGTGAGAGGAGATCAATGGGCATAACAATGGGAGAGAGGTTCAGGCAGTGTCTAAGGAGAAACCTACTCACCATGAGGACAGTCAAGCATCAGTTGCGTAGAGAGGTTGTGTGGTCTCCATCCTTGGCCCTGCTTCTGGCAGGAGGTAGGAGTAGAGACCCTGGGGTCCCTTCCAACCTCAATGATCCTTTAATCTTTCAACACCCTTTTCAAGAAGGGCAGAAGGAGCCCTGAGAGAGGAGCTTGCTCACTCACTTAACATGAAGAGCTAGCAAGCACAGTAGCTCATAACATCCTTACCATAAATGCTCTATTATATACTCTATTCCTGACCCTCATTTACTGAGCAGCATAGATTTTATTTTCAGGGAATCCCCTTTTGCTTTGGACGAATTTGCCAGCCAGGGATATACAGATAAGGCAGAATTAGAGTCATGATGTGCAACTGTGGGAAAGGATTTACTGCTCAAAAGACAAAAATTAAATAATCACTGACACAGAACATCCCCCAGAGCTGTCACGGTCTCCTTTGCAGTGATCTCCTGGCTAGGAAATAGCAGGTGGAGGGTTCAGAAAATGGGAACAGGAGGAGAGAGGAGGGGACCTGAAGGCTGAATTTCCCCCGAGCACTTAGTCTGGGAACAGCCTTTGCCTACCAGTGGGGGTTTGCCAGCTATGAGGTGTCTCTCTCTGGAATAAAAATGACAAAACACCTCCCATAGGACAGAAGTGTTTGAATCCACCCCACAAACAGCCACTGACTTGAACAACTCCATCTAAAGCAGCTGCAGGGCAGCAGCATCCTGTTGGCTAGTGCAAGCCATGACTACACTGGCAAGCTGTCCCAAGCCCCACCATGCAGGGACATCAGGGGGAGACAAGGACTCCCCAGGCAGAACACTGCCAGGGCGACCATGCTCAGGGAGCAGCCAACGTGTTTCCATCATGAGCCCATCTCCAGGGCAAAGGAACCACACGGTGTCCTTGGCAGGTCCGAGACAAGGGGTTTGGGAGGGGGCACTGGCGACCGATGGAGGACACTGGTGGTGAGAAAACGACAGTCAACACAACCCCGGTTGGGAAGCGCCACGTCCCATTGACAGTCCCAGCCTCGTGAGCCACCTAATGCTCTCCAAACTTCCCCACTCCTTATCTGCCGCTCTCCTGCACACGCTGCCTCACCAGTTTCTATTCCTGGCCCTTTTAATCCTTCCTGCCCCGGGAGCAAACGGCCTTTGCAGCCTTCCTGGCTCAGCAGGCTATTCAAAAACCAGGTTTGTTTTGCTGAGCAGAGCAGAACGGGCCATGCTTTTACGATATTTTACTAGACGCTGTGGCAAATCCTGCACATATTTGAGGTAGTGTCTGTAGCATTTATCTAATCAAAGGGATCATCATGGCCCGGCCGGGATGGGGATGGAGGTCTCTGGGATGAGGTCATGGAGGGGCTATGTTCTACCTTAGTATCCCCATCCCAGTGTGCTCATTGTAAAAACAATTTTTGGCTCAGGACTGCTCCTACCAAAGGGAAGAGCCAGCGGCACGTGAGTACCCAGAGCATCGGGAGCACAGACCGGATGACTGCTTTTCCTGCAGTAAAGATCATTTATGACAGTCCCCCTGCAGCAAAAGATCATTTATCACAGTTCCTTGGGAGAAAGCCCTGTGCTCAGCTTCACACCTGCAGTTTTAGGGCAGAAATGCTGTTTGGAGGTGCTATATAGGTCATAGTTTCAGAGGGCAAGGGCTGCTTGAATAGTGTCTTGTGCTCCTAAAATGTGAACAGCAAATCCTCACTAGCATCACTGCGCAAAGACACTTCCTGTTGTGGAGCAATAGACCTTGGTGTCACGTTGTGGCAGCGATGCCACAACATGACACAGCACAGTTCTGGGTGCCAACGGGGCTATGGCTGCATTGGGGTGCTGGGAAACACAAACATGAGCCAGTTGGAAGCCCAAATCAGCAGCCTATGGACTCAGTCACCTGGTTGCGAAATCACAGGGATGTTTTCAACGTAGAACAAGCTGATACCAAACCATTAATTGCTGGTTCTCCAGGGCCTTGCAGCCAATGCCATCCAGCCATTGATTACATTCCCAGTCACTGATCTTGTTATTACACTGAAATATCTCAGTCCTGTCTAAAGTGAAGGGACGGGGGAAGGAGAGCATCCAGATAAACAAGGAGAGCACAGGCAGCTCTGCTGCTTGCTCTGGCCCCCTGCTCAGACCGAGCAGGGTCTGGGTGAAGCAGCAGAACCACCAATGGTGCTGGTGACAACTGCACCCCCAGAAGGAAAAATCCCACTGCAGAGTGTAAAACACCTCATGAAGCCCGAGGCTGGGGGGTTTGTGGCACAGGGTGGCTCTGGCAGTGGGACAGGAGCAGCCCCAGGGATGCCCAGAGTGTCCATGCTGCCCCCCAGCCCCGCTTGCTGTTTGGGCACGGTTGCAGAGTAGGATCTGGTTTTAGGACATCCAGCTCCTATAAAACCCTGTTTATAGGGAAGTAAAAGGAGTCATATGTCATTACTTTGCATAGCAACGTGTAAATTGCCAGGCAGGCACTGACCTTCTCTGACTGGGAGGGAGAGGAAAGGAGAAGGGGTGGGAAGGATGTTGGGAACAAGAGAAGGGAAAAACAGGGGTGAAGACAGCCAGCAGTGGAGAGGGGAAGGCAATGACAGAAGTGAAGAGTACCCTTGTTCTCCTGTCAGGGGGTTTTCCAAGTTTTCTACCACAAGTACTGTTAAGACCAACACCAGCAGCTCAGCATCAAGGTCAGTAGCCTGGGAAGGTGCTCCCTCACCGGCAGAGCCTGCTCCCATGTCCTGCCTGCACATGGGAGCCAGGATCGGCGGAGTGCCTTGAGATGCAATAACAAACAGTCAACAAGAACCACTGCTGCTCCACCAAAAAAAAAAAGCAGCTTAGCAGCATTCAGTGAGTGAGATGATTAAAGATTAACCCCCTGCCTCCTGCCTCCACCCCTCTGGGGAGTATAGGCCTTGAGGCTGAGCAAATCCTTTCAGAGAAATACCTGAAATAAAAGACAACAGATAGGGACGCAGCGAAGGCAGAGGGAGGCAGAAGGGCCAATAGCCTCGGACAAGGGAATCGGTACAATCTGGCCGGTGTTTGCTGATGATAATGCGCCTTTCCAAAGCCCTAATAGACATGGAGATGGCAGATTATAGCGCGGCACTAGACCCGGCGTATACCACCCTGGAGTTTGAGAACATGCAGGTGCTGGCTATGGGCAATGGTAAGTCCCCTTCGTCTTCTCCCCTCCACTGTGGTGGGATGCGCCGGGGGATGCAGGGGGAGAATTCCTTGGGGTGGCTGCTGAAATGGTCCTGGGGAGGGCTAGGGCACGGCAGGGACGTCAGCCAGTGGCTCCCAGCAGATCATGGGGGGGGTTCTGCTTCCCTGGGGAAAAACAGAGGTGGTGGAACAGGAACAGGATGGTGCCCTGCAGCCCGGGCACACACCAGGAGCCGGGTAAAACGAGAGTTTCCCACCAGACATTCAGCACAAGGGCTGGGGTTGAGCACAGGGGAGGTCTCGCCTCCCCCAGACTACAACCAAGAGAAGAGACTGGCCGAAAGACTGAGTGAATGCTGCTGGTTGTTCATCAGGCAGACTATGCAGCCTGGGGCTCCAGAGCAGGGCCAGACCCAGCCCTTCGGCAACTGGAGATGGGCTTTCCAAGAGCAGAAAGCCACTTAGCATCCGGCAAGGGTGGAAATCGCTACAGAAAGTGAGTCAGGTACTGCCCTGAGGCCACGGCCCTTTCATTCAGTGCTGCACGGTCAGGAGGCTCAGCCCCTAGGGAAGAGGGGGACCTGGTAGGGATGGAGGAGCATTTCCATCCCTTCAGGAGGGCAGGATCACACTTAATCCGGGATTCGCAACACTGGCCCACCCGTTTGGGACCAAGGAGTCCTGATGATTAAATGCTCAGAGATAACAGGAGATTCCTCACCAAGTCCCCCCTAAAGTCTCTCTAAACATGAGGTTAATGACTAAACAAAGCACATCAGAGAAAATGACTCCCCTGAGCCCTTTCCCCCTGCCTGCTGTGTCACTGAGACTGCTGGGCACCCCTGTCCCAGAAGCACAGGCTCTTCTCTCACAGCCTGTACAGGTCATCCCTGTGTTATGGCTCTGCCCCATCACAGACATGACACCATGATGCCAAAGTGGCTATGCTGTTCAATAACCCCCCAGCACCCAAGGGTCTCAGCCCCTTCTCTGCTCCCAGGGGCTGGTGCTACCCACCCATGGGTCTCAGGGCTTAGAGCAGCCCCCTTTGGATCTGCCAATGTCCATCTGGGACAAGCCCAGGTCTTGCTCCATCTCTGTGCCCCTCAGGAGCTCCTGCATGGGGGCTTGTGACTTGGCCTCAACAGGGCAGAGGGACATGATAATCTTATATGACAAGATCAAGTGAGATGCAAAACACACCCTGGGGTGGATGAGTCAGCTGGGTCAGGCAGTGCCAACGCCTCTCCTTCTCCTATGCCCAGCTCCACACCAGGGGCAGGTCTCACCTCCAGAGCTGCTTTGGCACTCCAACAACTGCCCGCACAACCTCTGCCTCCCAGCCTGGCCAAGGACTGCAGGAGAGATCAGCTCCGGCCCAGAGGTGGCTGCTCAGCACTGAGCAAGTTTGCCACAGACCAAATGCATCCCATGGTCAGACAGGCTTGGGGACCTCTCGAGGAACTCCCATCCTAACACAGCTCTCAGTTGTGAGGTCTGAAATTAAAGTCAGATTTTTTCATTCCTCCTTTTACCTTAACTACAAATCATAAACCCACTTCACGGCAGCAGCCACAATGCTTTCTGGCACCATGAAATAACCTTAATTAGAAAATTATCCATTAGGCAATAATTTTATTGTTGGTTGGCAATTAGAGGAAGATGTTGTAATTTCTTTGATAACGGTGCCAGTTTTTCCTGTTCTATGTTCACCTGATTACAGCATGATACACTGCTAGAAAGGGATTTATCTGGGCTCTCACAGACACACAAGTAATATGTGTTATAGGTAAATCAACTCTTCCTTTCTTGCATTAAGTCCTATGTTCAGCTGAAATTGGAAATCTAACCAGAATCTAATCTGTCTGCAATGACCTTCACACAGCCCAGCCCTCAGGATGCACTGGAAGGAAGGATGGTTTTGGAGGCAAGCTCTCAAAGGGACAAGAGACAGCCAGAATGGGCTTTGGAGTGGAGAACAGAGCTTTGCAAGGACAGCTGCTGCCACAGAAATGCAGCTGTGTGCCAGGCAGGAATAGAGAGAGGCAGCAAACTGACTTAGAAAGAAATCTAGGAGGGACATGAGGAATTAGAAAGAAAGGTGTCAGGGAAATGAAAGGGTTGGCTTGAGATCCCCAATGCTAGCTCACTGCTGTTGAGGGACAGCATGAACAGGCTGTGCAGTGGCTGCTGTTAACACCCCTTTCTCTGCAAAGTAAGAGCTAGAACTGGAGCCCTGCCCCAAGCAACACTACCTCAGCAGCACCATGCTCCAGCTACTGAAAGGAGCCCTACTGGGACCAGCCTTTTTATAGCATCCAGTTCCCTTTCTGCTGGGCGCTGACTGGGAGCAGCTGTGGCCCTCCCAGGGTGATAGCTGCATCCCTGCCAAACCCAGACACCTGTAGACTCAAGTATTCAAATCCCAGCAGGTTCCTGTGGCTTTGTAGATCCTGGTTATCATTTGCAACCAGGGTTTCCACTGAGGCAGGGGAACGTGCCTGTGCTGATACAGGAAAATGTACGTAGGATAGGACAATTAGATCAACCAAATTAAGGGCTGATCCTTTTGTCCTTGTGGTTTGTTTGGCTTGCTGGAGGGGTTTTAGCATAGGCCTTGCAATTCCCCATCCTCTCAAAACAGCCCTGCAAGTGCCTGACTGTAAGGACTGTGTGACACCTCAATCTCAGCTGTGGTGCTATCAGATTCTGAAATATGACCAACATACAGCCTCCTCCATGCTATAGCATCACCCTTTCTTCCTCATCTAGCTTAAATCAGTCCTTCCTTGCACAGGTAGTGTTTGCTGCCTGAGTTTTCTAGTTGAAGCCACTTGAGTTTATATGTACTTAAAGTCTTGTTCTCCTGAAGAACCTCAGTGCAGGCTGGTGCTCCATATCTGGCACAGAGGATCTCAGGAAAGGGGGCTGACCACCTTATTTCTCTAATAGTGTTTGCTCAGGGCTATCTTGGGCTCTTTCAGTGCTGTAACATAAACACCTCTCTAATAATTCAGCTGCTCACCCTGAGCTGTAATACCTCAGCTTTAACTCTGCACCAGCTTCTTCTCTGGCCATGCTACTGCAGGTCAAAGTGCTTGCAAATCCCAAAGGAATTTTGGCTCTGCTCTGTGACTCCTGCAACTGGGTTTCTGCTTTATCTGAAGGTGTTGCTGGAGTCAGGCCTTTGGGAAGAGCTTTCTCACCCTGGCACATGGGGAGCTTTGGTACAGTCAAAATGCAATGACTTAACACACTCAGAGCATCCCACCAGTTCGTACCCATCTCTCTGACCTGGCTTTCTCTGGCTGCAGTTAACCTGATTCTTCCAAAAATCAATCCTCTCACTGGAAACTGAGTTAGGAAACATTGTCTGTCTCTCTCACCGTCTTCATCTTCCTGTGTCCTTCCCCAAGCAGACACGTCTCCATCAGAAGCAGCCAACCTCAACACTTCCAACAGCATTGGGGTGAGCGCACTGTGTGCCATCTGTGGGGACCGCGCCACGGGGAAGCATTATGGGGCTTCCAGCTGCGATGGCTGCAAGGGCTTCTTCAGGAGGAGTGTCCGGAAGAACCACATGTATTCCTGCAGGTAAGGACAGAGGGGACAGAATAATGTGGCTGAGATAAAACAGTCCCTAGGAGATGAATGATAAAGCCCTCAAAGCGCAGCAGCATCCTTCATCCTCTCTGTATCCTCCACTACCTTCCCTGACCTCAATCCCCAGCTGGGAAGGGTCAGAGACTGCTCTCACTGTGGGATTGGCCTCCAGTGACACTGGGAGAGACCCTGGGAGGCCCTGCCCCAGTCTTTAGGGGCCAAACATGTGCTCTTGCAAATGGATGTGGCCAACTGTGGATGGGGCCCAGCAAGCAAGGTGATGCTGCAAGGGGGCAACAAGCTGGGCAGTGTAGTGTGCATGTATCGGATGAGGCACACATGCTGTTCCTGCAACTCATGCACTGCACCTGTGTTATTGGTGGTAGCCCATTCCTCTCCTGTTCCATCAGCAACTGTGACCTGCCTGCTCCCTGCTCTGAGCAACCCACACATAAAGAATCACGGAGGAAACCACAGAATCCTTAGCTCAGAGTGCCTAAATCACTCGGCTTTTTGAGTGAGTTACTCCTGGTGGCCTGACAGCCACTTGGAGAACATGAAGAGCAATGTGACTCAAATCTGAGCGACAGAAAGAAGCCCCAGGTTTATGAGTCCATGTGAAGCACTTGCATCCCAGGTTTATTCAAGCTGCTGCCCAGGGAGCACCTTCCCCACAGCTCCATTGGAAAAGCCAAAGTGTCCAGTTCTTTGAAGACAAGGGCTTTTCTATAAGTGCTACAGAAATGCTTAGAAAGATGCTTTCAGGCATCATTTGGGCAAACCTTAGGCCTTTAAAAAGCATGGTAGCAACAAGCCTTTTCGGAAGCTACAGAGCTCAGCATGGCTGGGAGCCCTTTCCCAGCTCTGTACACCTTTGCCTTTACTTTGCAAGCTTGATCAAGCCCCAGTAAATTAGAGCAAAGTTGCAAGTGAAATTCATGCTTCAAATGGCCACCAGGCCTGTGCTGCATGCAGGAGCCACACACATCAGAGACCAGTGTTTGCCTCACCGTGTGCAACGGATTTGGTGATACGAGTGTGGAGGGAAGCAGCTGGGTGCTTCCCAAGTGCTCTCTGAAGTGCAGGTGGCTGCAGAGCTGTTTGCACACCAGTGATGCTGTTCAGAGGTCAGAACCAACATGCCTGCACATAGCCCTGGAGAGATGCAGGGACTTAAACTAACTTCTTAACCTTACTGACTCAAGAACAACCTTCGACCCTTTTTTAATTCACATAAATACATTCTTCCTCCCTTCTAACTGGGATCTAACTTACAACAGAGGCTACCAAGTTGGCTCTGACTCTCCTGGCTCACACTTTTAATTTCACTGGGGCTTGTTAATGCATCTCGAGCATCCTGTGCCTAGTGGCCGGCAGCCTGAGCTCCGGCATGCGGCTGTCAGCTCTAATCCATCCTTATTGAACATCCAGAGGTAGAGCAGAGGGCTGAGATGTTCAGTGCAAAGAAGAAACCCCAGGCTAAGGCATGGAAATGGCACAGACCAGGGCTCCTTTCTCAGGGTGAGCGTCTGGGAACCTGCTCTCTGTCTTCGAGCCTTCAGGCTCAGTCTTGCTGCTCCTCACACTTCTCTTTCTTCCAGGTTTAACAGGCAGTGTGTGGTAGACAAAGACAAAAGGAACCAGTGCCGATACTGCAGGCTAAAGAAGTGCTTCCGAGCAGGAATGAAGAAGGAAGGTGGGTGATGGCACCGCTTCCCTGTGCTTCCCCCAGCAGCAGTCAAACTGTCTGCCTGTGTTCGAGGAGGTCCTCGCAGCCCAAGGCCAGTCCCTGCCATGCTCATGCTTGCCCCGTCCTAGCCCTGTCTTCCCTCCACAGTGCTCTCCTGTGCACACATCCAGACCCCATTGTAGGGGGGTATAGGAAGAGTTTTGGCCTCCAGTGATGAGCCCTGCATGTACCCAACCTGCCCGCTCCCACCCATGCAAAGCCCTTGCAGGCAGTCACTGTGCCAACAGTTGAGGGCAAGGCATGGGGGCCCTGTGTGCTCCCGCATTCAGTGTCAGGACACTTCTGAGGGCACCCCTCAAATGCCATCAAAGACAAGCCCATGGCAGTGCTACAGGACCCTGCCTGAGTCTCAGAACTACCCATGCTTGTACACACAAATCACAGTGGGCCTCTTCAGCCCATTCTCCCTCACACTGACACACAAATCACTTGTGCTCCCACATAACTGGGGCATCCAAGCGGTTTAGGAATGCTTCTCAACATCCCTGAGAAGCAGAAACTTCCAAGAAGGCCTGGAAATTTGAACATTGGGAAAACTGCTCTAAGTGCTGTTGTCACCATGAAACCCAAGGCTGGACAGGTGACTCCAGCAAAGGTCCAGCTGTCATTTTGCACCTTTTTTTCCTAATACACGTATAAGTTCTTGCTGACCCTCTGCAGAGAGCTTAGCTCTGTGTGATACACTCACCACAGCAGAAAAGCCCCAGAGCAAGGTGGAACATTTTGGCTATTTGACTCCACATGAAACGAGTAAAGATACCCACGCCCCTGCATGGCCCAGGGCCACCCCACCACCTTCCCTGCCCCTCTGTCTCCGCACCCTTCTAGGTCCCCATGACTCAGACGCAATGGGACAGGACTCACCCTCTTCTTAGCCCTGCTTGGTTCTCAGGGGTATGTGCAGTGGAGCTGCTGATGGTCGCACTGGTGACTCTTTGGTAGAGGGAAAAGGTGTCAGGAGCAGCCCAGGGGAGCGGCTTGGCATGGCACAGAACTCACGCCACTGATGGCTGCAAAGGGACAACCAGGAGGCATTTGGCCCTGATGTTCCATGTAGAGAAATTAAACCCTGTGCTCCCCCCCCCAGTTCACACACACCCCCCCCATCCTGAGGAGAAACGGGGTCCTTGAAGAAAACAGAAAAGTACCAGTGGTACCTGGGTGGCTTCCTCAGGATTACCAGCCTGGGGGAACCCCTCTGAGCAGGAACATTTATTCCATGTTAAAGGGGATGAGGAACTGCAAGGAACTTGGCTTGGCTTTTACTGCAGAACATAGGAATCCTCCTCTCCCTGCAGCGCCCACTCATCCCATGCCCGGAGCTTTGCTGCTGTCTGTTAATATTCAATAGAAGTTACATTAGGTGCATGACCAGCTAATACTGAGCAAACATTTGGAAAACATCATGGCGTGACTGAACTCGGGGTCCTGCTACTGATAACAAGCAGCATAACCTTGAGAGCTCCTATTTACAGCCGCTGACTGCAGGGCTTTGCTTCTGGCCCAGCCTCATTATTGCTTTTTATCAGGTGGATTTATACATTGAGAACGTATCAATCCAGAGAGCCACCAGCCTAAGGTAGGGACTGTTCTGTTTCCCCTGCCATCGATCAATACCTTATTTGAGCAGATGGCTTTGACTGGCATGGCCATGGGAGTTACATCCAGCCCACGGATGGCAAATTCTCCCCCCAGCACTGCTGCTTTTGCTCTGGCTGCTGCTGTCTATAGACTCAAGACCATGCAGGGAGGCACATCGGGGTCAAACCTGTCCTGGGACTCTCTTTACAATAAGGTATGGGAGAGCTCAGTTGCTCTGGATAGATAAATAGAAGCTGTTCTGCATCTCCTTCCTTATTGTAGCTTAGATGGAAGATTTCCAACTGCACCTACCTGGTGCAAGGGCTTCCCAAACGGAGCACACAGAAGTCATGTGGACAGACAAGGAAGCCATGCAGATTCTTCCATTTCTCACATAAGCTTTGGGCCATGTGTGAGCGTGGCCACTGTTTCAGACCCCTTATATTGAAATCAAAAAACTCAGAACCAGATCCTTTGAAAGGAAACTTTCCCACTGAAGTCTACAAGCTCTGAAGCAGGTGTTTGGGTTCTGTAATAATCCCATCACAGGAAAGCCTAATAAAGCCAATCTGAAAACAGATCCACCAGATGTACACAGTTCTCACAGGCATCCCACCACAAAGCTGCCCTGCCATGTAGGGAAGCTGGGAAACGGCTTCTAAAGAAAGGGAATGCCAAAAGTCTATGCTACTTTCTGATGTTCATTGCCATGGAGGAGCTGCAGCTCAGCCAAAATAACTCTCTTGCAGCTGTACAAAATGAACGGGACCGAATCAGCACCCGCAGATCAAGTTATGAAGACAGCAGCTTGCCCTCCATCAATGTCTTACTGCAGGCAGAAGTCCTGGCACAACAGGTACCTCTCTTTCTTCTCTGGCAAATACAAAAGCATCAGGCACTATCTGGCTAGTAAAGCCAGTTGAGTATTTAATAGCTGAGTCATCAAATTACCACCCCTTTTCTAAAAGTAACTTATCTGCCAACTCAACATTGGCTTTTCAAAGACGTTTGTTACCTGAAACCATCCCTCTAATGCTCCTTGGTCCAGATCTCAGCTGTAGTAATACACAGTCATCTGTTCTGCTTGGTTGTGACACATGAAGGCTGGAGAGCCTGCTGGAAGAAAATAGAGTAGAACCATTGAAATGCAAGGAGCTGCAGCCACCTAAGCCAGCTGAGGGGCTGGCCTCACATGAACAATCTCCCTTCCCATCGGCTGCTATGAACTTCAGATTGTGGCTTCCTGCAGTTTCATGAGGAAATCAGTTTCATGTTTGTTTTATGCAGATATTCTTTCCAGTGTTTGCTTTTAAGTCCCCATCTCCACCAGGATACTGCCAAGACTGATTTCCTAGAGCATTCACCTGAGAAGATGATTCTGATTTAGGAATCTAGATACTGCAAACATGAGATCAGCACTCTCTGGGAGGACACAGGACAGGATGGGAGGGCACAGGCTGCAGGGAGGGTTTGCCTGCAAGAACAAGTGATGAGGATGGGGCTGGAGGCAAGAGCTGCCACTCTTCATGGGAGGTGGGGAGAGCAGCACTCCTTGTGCCAGGGAACATGAAGAGGCGTTTGAGTTGGCAGTCCATGTTCCTTCTTGCTTCAAGGGTCATCTTACCCTGAAGGCTGCCCTGGGAGATGCTTCAGGGCAGGATGAGCTGCTCTTAGGCTGCAAGGTCCACTTCTCCAAGGAGGGGATATGCCAGAAGAGACAAGGGCCAATCCTGTACGCAAGAAGCATATCCAATCTCATCCTGTGTCTCACCTTGTCCTATGCAGGCCCTAATGTATTTATATACCCTATAAAGTTAATATCAGTGCTGCTGCCAAAGGTGTGAGATAAGGGGATCTCAAGTCACCAGATCTGCAAGAGAAGGGTATTTCTGGGACAATGAGTCCTCTATCATCATATGTAAGCGTGGAGCAGGGTCTGCTGATAAAAACTACAACCATCGACAAATCCAGGGGAGCTCCTGCTCTCCCACAGAGCAAGGAGAGACTCATTAAACAGGGCAGGCTCCAGCGTGCTAATTGGTAACTTTTATGTGCCTACCTAATTAGAACAAGATACTGCTGAGGAGCTGCTTTCTCCAAGATCTTGGGTCACTCACTCAGAGGTCTCTCTTTATTTGCTAAGCCTTCCGGGCTCTCCGATTAGGGTAATACATGGTGAGATTTTTACAATCGTATTTATTCAATAACAGCTCGAGAGCTGGAAAGCTTCCAGGTAATGCAGCCTGGGGGAAAAATAGTGCAGGTGGCATTAGAATCCTATTTCCTTGGCAAGGTCCAAGCTGAAAACGCTGGCAGGAACAGGACAGGAAGAGCTGATGTTGTACAAGAGCACAGAGGGCAGGCGGAGGGCAGCGATGGGCTTGAGTTAATCGCTTACAGGAGCATGAGGATAAAGTAGTGACTAAGGGCAAATTTTCAGATGAGCTGGGTAAGCAGCTATGCATGAGAACCAGGGAGGAGGTTGGGTGCCTGGTTTGGGGGAGATGTTCTTTCAGGCTCTGTGTGACAGCGCTTGCAGAGCTGTGAGGCTTGTCCTTTGTAAATGAAATGGGCCCATTTGCCTCTGCGATCACAAACAATTTGCCATGCAAAAAGTTCTTTTGGGGCATGTTTGTACATCAGCAGTTTTGCCAAAAGGGCCTAAAAGCTGAGAAGTAAAGCCTGCAGGTGCCCTGTCAAAAGCAGACACAGCAGGTCTGGACAAGCACTAGTTGTGGAGCAGAGTGAAACAGGGAGCAGTTCTCTGCCCTTTAGTGGGACAAGCAGCTTGTGTAGCAGCACTGAGTGGATGTGTCCTGGCTACTGGTGAGGCTGACTGCTACATAAGTCCTTTTGCTCTCTCCTGGGTCTTGGCTGAGCAGTTGTTCAGTGGAAGGAAGATCTTCACTTTAGAAACATTTCTTTTGTGCTTTCCAGTCTGTTCAAGGTACGACAGCTTACCAAGATGATCCACAGCCTCAGCTACGAAGCATTCCCTGTTCACAGATCTCAATTTAAATGAGTTTAAATGTATTGTAGAGGCTGGGTGTGCAATGGAGGAAGTAATTATTGATGCTGGAGTCTGCATCAGCACAACCCACAGGCTGGGGATTTTCCTGCCTATGTTTCCTCTGTGGTACTGAAAGATAAAGAATTGCTTCTCTCCTTCCAGATATCATCCCCGGTTCCTGTGCTCAATGGAGACATCCGAGGGAAGAAGATTGCCAACATCTCCGATGTGTGTGAGTCCATGAAGCAGCAGCTGCTGGTGCTGGTGGAATGGGCCAAGTACATCCCTGCCTTCTGTGAGCTGCCCTTGGATGACCAGGCAAGTCCCTCCATCCACTCCACCTCGCTCTGCCCTGGTGAAGGCAGCAGGGAGCTGAAGCAGAGCCAGGCAGCTGAGACCTTCAAAGGAAAGGTGCATTGACACTCTGTTATCCTGACTGTTGCAGCTGATTGGGAATGGCATCCATACAATGCCAGCACAAGCCATTTGCCTGTGCAGCTAATCAGTCGATGAGCACAGTCATGATAACACTGAGCTCAAATTAGGTACATAATCAGATGCATATTTTGCAGGGGTCTTTTGGTCAGCTATTTATTATTTATAGTTTGTGCAGCACTCTGAATACCTGAAGTGCTATACAAATGCTAAGGGTAATCAGACTTGGTAGGACAAATCCCTAGCCTATTGTGTTCTTAAACACAAACCTGCCTGTCTTTGTGCTTCTAGCCTGGCCACATGTTTGTATCCATCCTCCTGGTGTGGAATTATAGAAAGTAAACATAAGTTTGCTCCCAAGGCAGGGTTAAAAACCAGGAATATATTTGCATTTAACACAGAGATAGCACTGGTGGCAGGGTATAACACTTCTGGCAGTGGCCAGCACAGGTACAAAAGTATTCCTAATCTGCCCAGTGCAGTCACAAGACCAAATGTGCTCTTTTCAGCTGGGATCAGTCTCCAGCCCTATAGACCTAGAGGTAATTTTTATACCACAAAGAAAAAACATATCCAGAAAGTGAGAGCTGATCAAAATCCCTTAAATCCTAAATCTGAGCTCTTCAGTAACAGCGGCACAGAGCCCTAGGGAATTCAGCACTAGCAACGCAGGAGCATGTCTCCCTCTGTTCTATTGTGTGCAAGTGCTAAATTGTTTAAAAAGGTAAGAAATCTGTTAAACTTCTAAGTCAAATACAGCTCAAAAAGTATGAAAAGCAAAATGGACTCCAGTAGCAAATGACATGTACCCCGCACACAGGCCGCAGCCCAGCGGAGGCTCAGGGCAGCTCTGCACAACCCATTGCATCCTTGTGCCATTTGGAACAGAGGCAGTAAACCTGGTTAATAACACCACAAACTACAGCAATTTCCATGTGAACTCATTTTACCATTATGGGGCTGCAAAATTTCTCAAAGAAGAAAACAAACCTAAAGATGACATTGTCTGGACCTTGCTTTCCCGCAGCAGAGGGGCTGCTCTCAGCATGCTCCATGGGTTTGGCTCATCTGAAATAGGCCTGTTAGGACCAGCCACCTCTCATCATGAGCAGTTCCCAATCTGTCCCAGAGGGCTTGAGAGGAAAGACTGTGATGCATTAATGTGCTTCTGAATGACAACCTGAGGACAGAGGCAGCAGATTATCAGAGCAGTGCAGGAGGAAGGACAGACTGACAGGGAACAGGAATGAATGAAACTGAGTGCAAGCAGCTGTCCAAGGGACATAGGAGCCAGTCCAGATATGTCCAGTGGGAACATTTAATGTTAGGAAATGCTCTTACATTGCCACTAAAATGTTGCCTGAGAATGAATCATCACAGCCAACATTTTTATAGGAAAAGTCATACCCAACCCCTTATTCTTCCTCTGCACCAAAATCTCAAAGTACTGGATATGGTGGGCAAAGCTTACTCATTTTGAAGTTAAAATTCTACTTTGTTGTGTTACAACTCTTATATTTATCCTAGTTCACAATAGAGTGACATATTTCAGGTTGATCACTGCAAGCATAAATAGCAAATGAGATGGCTTTGCCTTGTTGAAATAATTGAATTTAAGCCTGCTCAAGCAAGCAAGTTTTATGGAAACAAAAATGATGGCTCCAAAATGAGCTTTCTTGCCTTTGTACTAGGCAGGTAATTTCTACAGGAAGGCTTTGCTCTCCCTTGGGATTTGAAGTTTTTGCATCCTTCTCCAAGTTGCATTAGATAGGAAAGCTCAGTTTTGTGCAGCTCTGGTAATGACAAGGAACTTGGCTAACATATCCACCCATGTTTGGATAGCGATAGAGAGAGGTTAGATGTTGGTGTATAGATAAAGGTTCCCCACTATCATGTGTGCGTAGTCTTTTTGCAAGGACCTCCACTCTATTTTGCATAACTTTTTTCACCCTCTGCAAGAAATAAATATCCCTCTCTCAGCCATGAGCATCTTTTCAAACCAGAGCTCTCTTCCACGGCTGACACTTCTCCTGGCATTTCTGGTAGGGTAAGACTTCTCTTGGCTTTGTCAGATGCTGAGGGATAGCACACTGGAGAAGAGCACCATTCCCATCAAGACACACTTCTCAGAGCCTCTCCATTAATGTTTAACGATTGTTTTCTCCAGCAGAGGCTCCTGGCTGGACATTAAGAAGCCTCCGTGTCAGGCTGTCCAATCGTTAACTTCTGTTTCTGCCCAAAGCCCTGGAATTTTTAACTGAAGGAGGGCAAAAGAGTTAGAACATTCTCAGGAGCTGCTCGAGGGTGTAAAATGAAACACTTCAATCATTAACATCAGGACAGAAAAACATCCCTTTGGCTTCCCTGGCCCAAATGTCCATTGCTGTGGTGGGAATGAATGGCCAGAGGGTGACCCCACCAGCCGGGCGGATGCGAGTCCCCATAGGAATGACTTCAGTGGGAAGTGGGCATGTTCCAGAGGGACAGCAACTGTCCACAGCAGTGCAGTGTACTTCTCCCCACTTCCCAGGCTGGAGCATGGTCCCTGGTTCTGTATTCGGTAGGAGTTGCTTTGTCTGCAGTCAGCCCACTGTGAACATGTCCCACTTGCTGGTGTGAGGTCCTGGGACAGTCTAGCATGGTCTTGCTCATGACACGTGCCATGAATACAGGATGTTTCAGGTGCCACTGGTCCTGATGGATTTAGAGATGTTTATGCACAGGAGTAAACCATTGTTTGATCCCTTTCTCTGACTGTGACTAGACGGGTGCTCTCACTCCCCATCCTTGAGTCCGGTGCAGGAATGCTGGGCTTGCTTACACAGAATCACAGCCTTGTGTCTGTCTCTGCATCACCCAAATAACTTTTCCCTGCCCTTGCAGGTAGCGCTGCTGCGAGCGCATGCAGGCGAACATCTGCTACTGGGAGCTGCCAAGAGGTCCATGATGTTCAAGGATGTCTTGCTGCTAGGTAAAGAGCACCTTTCTGCACCCAGCCCATCTGCTTCTGTGAAGCTTCCCTGCCGGGTGAAGGAGAGGGTGGTTTAAGTGTTTGTGGACATCCTTTTTGCAGGGTGATGATGGCTTGAGCTCCTCTGTATTTTAGTGAGCCTAACACAACCTTTGGGTGCAGCTGATGTTCACATCAAGGCCATGACATGTGGCAAAGCTGAGGAGCTATGAACATTCACACTGAAACCACAGGGTCTGTGGAAGCAGGCTATGGTGTGACTGAGAAAAAGGCTCTTGCTCCCTGGTCAGCTTCTGCTTGCTTGAGTGACTCCTCTGTAAGGAGAGGCTGCTCTGGCAACACAGATCAGCATTGCTGGTGGGCTGAGCCAGGAAAGGGGCAGAGGGAGGAATTTCTTAAGTCCTCCACCCACAAAATTATCTCTGCATTGGTTGCCTGGGTTCTGAACTCCTTTGCTACCCCTGACAAGTCTTGGGCAATGACAACGTGATGGTCTCTGTGCTGCTTGTCTAAAGGGAATGACCACATCATCCCCCGGAACTGCCCTGAGCTGGTGGAGGTGAACCGTGTGGCCATCCGCATCCTGGACGAGCTGGTCCTCCCCTTCCAGGAGCTGCAGATAGACAACAATGAATATGCCTGCTTGAAAGCCATCATCTTCTTCGACCCAGGTATGCTCCAGCTTGGCGAGAGTTACCATCAGAGGGGACTAGTTTGGGTTATGCCAACTAATACCAGACCTGAATTCTCAAAATGCTGCCTGATCTCCTCTCTGGGCCAAACTGCTCTTAGAGGAAGGGGAGAAGTCATCCTAAGAAGGGAAAAAACATCCCTTAAAGATGATAACCGAATCAGAGACAGCTCACTTCAGCCTGCACCCAGATTTCATGTGGTTACTGAAGGGCAGCTCCTAGGAAAGCAGCCTGCACAATTGGTTCTATGGGTTGTTTCAGATGCCAAAGGACTGAGCGACCCCTCCAAGATCAAGCGGATGAGGTATCAGGTACAGGTCAGCCTGGAGGACTACATCAATGACCGGCAGTATGACTCACGGGGCCGCTTCGGGGAGCTGCTGCTGCTGCTGCCAGTGCTGCAGAGCATCACCTGGCAGATGATAGAGCAGATCCAGTTCGTCAAGCTCTTTGGCATGGCTAAGATTGACAACCTGCTGCAAGAGATGCTGCTGGGAGGTGAGTACTTGAGGGTCCTCTCAGCGTTCCCTGACCATCATCCCCTTGAGAACCTCTAAAGCTATTGTTTCCTACATGAAAAAGGTAGAGACAGCCTGTGTGCAGGTCAGCCCTTGACTCACACAAAATCATCTCCTCCTAGCAAGTGGAGAGTCCTCCACTTCTGCTCACCTAAAGAGATGCAGTAGCTCTGTATGCATTTAGAGAGGCATCCCCAGCCCTCTGCATGTAGACGAGCTTTGCTGTGCAACCCCCAGATTCCCTCCAGCCATTTCAGTAATCCTCCTCTGCGTCAGAAAGGAGTCATCAAAACACAAAGGTCTCAAAGCTCAGGTTGAAAGAATGTCCCAGATTTTCTAGTGGGAGGCATCCAGTGGGACAAAACAAAATGAAGAGTTGCCACTGTGCTGTTCTTTACATGGAGGTGTGACTCAGGAGGAGAGGAATATAATCCTCTATAAGGAAATGCAGGCAGCAGGCAGGGGTTGGTGAGATAGTTTCCTCATCCATGGAGCAAAATGGAAAGGGTGTGCTCCAATCAGGCGTGCACAAGCTGATCATGCACAAAGCCTTGGATGTTTTGGTGCAGTGGGTCTGCCCAACTGAATTGTCTCCTTCTGCTATTGTGGCAACTGATGTCTTTTAGGCTCATCAAGTGAAACGCCGCATGCTCACCACCCCCTGCACCCTCATCTGATCCAGGAGAACCTGGGAACAAACGTCATTGTGGCCAACACAATGCCTCCTCAGATGCACAACGGGCAGATGTGTGAGTATCACTTGAGAGATGGAGAGCTCCCGGGAGAAACAGAGCTTTCAAGTGTGCCTTGAAAGTAGTTTCTACCTCATAAGGAGATTTCCATGCAGGACAGACCCTCTGATAATAAGTGTGTGAGAAATTCCTATGCAGAAAGGAGGGAAAGACAAACAGAGAGGTGGGTTAGGTTAGATTAGATCAGTCTAGACTGATTCAACAAGATGCTCCCTGGCAGACTGTAACTTTTACATAGCCCTTAAGGGATGAATGATCCCATCCAGATCCAGTGCCTACTGAAATCAGTGGAAAGGCTCCCCTTCCCTTCAATGGTGCAGACAGACCTTGCTTTGCCCTCTGCAAAAAATGCAGGCCACCACACAGGGCACCATATGGGAATTTGGGCTGAGATGGCCTCGGCTGAGCAAAAAAATGGCCAGCACAGGTCAAAATGCCAGCAACTTGACTCATTCAAAGTTCGTTATTGTGGCTCTTCAAGAGAATCTAACAGTGCCTGTGCATCTGGCAGCCTCGCAGCAAACGCACGAGCCATTAGGAGCTATGGCTTCAGTACAGAGCGTCTGCCTTGCTTACACCTGAACCCCACATGACTAAGGACAGATCCCAGTGCTGTCAGATCCATGAGGCCACCTTCTAATTCTGTTTCTCTCTCTGTAGCTACTCCAGAAACTCCACAGCCATCCCCACCTGCAGGCTCAGGGCCAGAGCAATACAAGCTGCTGCCTGGAGCCATTGCAACCGTGGCCAAACAGCCCACCTCCATCCCACAACCTGCCATCACGAAACAGGAGGTCATCTAGCAACCTGCACACCAGCTGGCCTCATTCAGAAGACCGTGTGGGATAAAAGCCCAAACTGCCTCTGTCACTGTGAAAAGAGAACCCATCCAGAGTTCCCTGGGCGCAAACACGCGGACTTGCTTCTTGGACTGGTCCACCACCACCAAAAGCTGTCTTCCTGCAGCTACAGACAGCACGTGCCATGGGCAGCCCTGAGCCCCAGAACTAAGGCTGAAGCCTTATTGAAACCCTCAGTCCTTGTGAGAAGGGCCAGATTTCTGCCTCCCTCTGTGGGGAGGTTGCAGTGACTGGGGGCTGCTCCCCCATTGCCACCTCTCAGCATTGGTTCAGCACACATCAGACCCAGCAAACAAGCAATTCTCTGTGCTGTGTGAATGGAGGGCTTCACTCCCACAGCCATGCCAGCTCCCCAGACAGCCCCCAGCCCAGCCAAACTTGATGGAGATGGCAGCTCCCCCAGGAGCATTGCATCAAGTGAACCACATGGGTTTTGCCCAGGCAGCACTGCCAGAACCGCTCCTCAGCCTTGGCTAGTCCCAGGTCTTTGCAGTGCCACCCTACAATGCACTAATCCCCCCAAACCAGCCAGGTCTAACACATCTTTCCAGCTGATACTGGGGCAAAGTCTGGCCTATGAGGATTTTCCACTCTTTGGATCCTTCTGTCTTTTGCAGTGTTTTGTTATTTCCGTGCCATGATCACCCCCCAGCCACAAGGCTCAGAGAGGCAACCACTGCCAAACCCTTCCCCTACCCCTACCCTACTTACCGCCTCCTCGCTACCTGAACTGGGAAGCTGGGGGATCAAGGGGTTCAGGAGATTTCAGCTAATGGGATGGGGTCACCCCCGTACAGGCTGGCAGTGGGCAGCAGTGCCCAAAATATCACTGGCCCCACTACTGCTTTTCAGCAGTCACAAAACCACTGGATGCTTACTTGGAAGGAAGCAGGAGGAAGGATGTACAAAGGGGAGATGCCTGTGAGGGTGAGAAGAGCCTGAGCCACACAAGCTGGACCAACATCTTGGGCTGCCCAAGTGCTGGGAGCATCGTGACTAGGATCTCAATTCAGACCCAGCTTTAATGCTACTATATGCCATATAATCTATTTTTTCCAATCCAGTGCCACTCCTTCAGCTTAGAGCAAGTGGCTGATAACAGATTTATAGTTCTTTATAACATGATAAGAACTCATTATGGCTCCTTCAGACCTTAGAGGGTTTGAGGGCAGCAATCTCAAAACCACAATGCTTCAAGTCCTGCAGAGAATGACACAGGACAAGGAAATACCCTGTGTCCTCCAAGCCCCTTGGGTCTGCCCCAGCCTTGGCTCTGCACCCACCTGCCACAGTCCCTACTTCTCTGTGCCTGCCTGTGCCTAAACCCCACAGATCTGATCTCTGGTTTACAGCTGGATGCAGGGAAGGAGCCCTCCCATGCCCAGCACTTGCCTCCCTGGCTGCCAGCAAGCTGGAGCTCACAGAGCCCTGCAGGGCTTCAGCCCTGAGTCACTTCTGGCAGCACAAGGCAATAGCAGCTCTCACCAGCCATGGACTATGTGTGTGTGGTGCTGGCCTTGGGGAAGTTGGAGCTGGGGGAACCATGGCTGTGGAGAGGTCCCTGGCAGGGAGGAATCTGAGCCAGCCCGGCCAGGGGAGCTGCACATCTGCCCCTTGATTTCCAATGCAAAAATGAAACACCTCTGCCTGCGCTGACGGGGTCACAAGTATTGTACTGTCTCTCAGTGGTGGCATCAGACCGAGTAATTTATTGCAATGATGAATCCAATCATTTTCTGTAAATTATTCTGTAAATCACATTGATTATTTATAATTGGGAGATTAAATGCAAACACACCACCACCACCCCCCACCCCCCCCCCCGATAATAACCAGGCTGTCTTTTCCAACTGCAGCAACCCTGTTTTCCTGTACGTAGACATACTCTGTGGGGAATCCTTTTTGGTCTGCTTGCACCAAGCATTCCTCAATACTGTACATTAATTTTTGCTGGTTACTGCCTTCCAATGGAAACAGAGGACTATTTCTTCACTAGAGTTTGTATGCATAAAAAAACGGAGAAGAAATAAATGCAAAAATATTTTCTAACTTTCCCCAGACAGATGGATTTCTTTCTTCTGGGAGGATTTATTTGAAACCAAGGGGCTCACCTCCCTCTTGGTCTGAGCACAAAGCATATGGGTATTGGGGAAAAAGCCCCAACAAGTGTTGGATGCTGTCATCAGCTGTCACTATTTCCTGGCAGGGCTAAAGTTAGCTGGTGTCTGTCCTGAAGCCACATGTGCTGGCATCATGAGACTGAATGGCAATCCCGATTTTCATTAAAAGGAAAACAAACATGAAGAATAAATATTTGATTTCATGCTTCCAGGGAGCTTAAAGACTTGAAGTAACCACACTACGAAAGCCAAGCAAAGGAAGCCAGGATATGTTATTAACATGTTGAAGTCCCTCTTCCATTTCAAAGGTAATTTCTGAGCATTTTGGGTGATGATTCTGCTTTGGTTCAAACACAGCCATCCTGCTGCTGGCAGCAGGTACAGCCAAAGGCACACTGAACATAAGGGCATAATAAGATGACAAAGTGAATACACTGACACTTAGATGATGAGAGCCCCAAAACCATCACTAAATGCCTGTACAAGGTCAGCAAAGGCAGTCGCAGGACATGCGTTATCTCAGCACACACAGCTACTGAGTGGTTAGTCCAGTCAAGAGAAGGAAAAGGAGTTAGTTCCTTCTCCTTAACGTGGGATAAAACCCAGGGCTCCTCTGCCTGCCACCAGAACCCTGTTACCCATGATTGGTTTTACCTGGGTATACGGCCTAAAAACTCCACATATGTAATATCAAACCTTTGAAACAATAAATTCTCCTGGATTCCTTCCCAGGAACTGCTCTATCAAGGCTGCCCTTTAGCTGGTTAATCTTAAATCAGTGCAGTCCCTACAGAAGATTTCTTATTGCTGGATTCAGCTCACTTGGAATAAAACCCACAAACTGTCCCAGAGACATCCTTATCCTTAGGTGGCATCCTCGATCCCAACCCTCACCTCTTGTGTCACTCCATCCAGGAATCACCCTAAGACACTGGTCTTGCCACCTGTGGGCTGTCTTTTATTCTACTGGGCTTCCTGGAGCCCAGACGCAATGTCCCATGTCAGAGGATATGGCTGCTGTAAGGACAGCCTTTAAGACACAACTTCCTTATGTTGGTTTTGGACACAGGAGCTTTTTCTTGTCCTCTTCTGTGCCTGTAACCTAGACTAAGGATGATATCCTGGAGAGCAGCATCTCCAGCTGCGAAATCTTTTTATGATGTCCAAGCAAAGATCTGTGAAAGTGGTATTTTTTAGGTCCTCTGGCCACTACGAAATACATTCTTTCCATATCCTTTATATAACCTTCATCTGAAGCAGCCACAGGGCTTTGGAGTCTTTTCCGCAGTCTCCATATCTCAGTGGGAGAGAAAAATAAAGAATAGAGAATGAATTTTATGGCCTGCATATCATCTCTGACAAAGGCAACTATTGCTGCTATTAAACTTGCAAGTGCACACAGAGGCACAGATAGTCATGAACAACAAGAGGCAGCAGGCATGGCTCAGCAACGTGGCACTGCTGAGCCAGGCAATTCTGTGTGCCAGGCTGGCCAGTTCCCTCAAGGCTGAGTGCAAATATCACCAACCAATTGGGGAGTTCAGGCCACGCACGCTGCACAACCCCCTTCCATTCAGAGAGCCTGGAGGAGGAAGGGTAAGGTGTGGGTATGTTTAAAATCCCTCTCCCCATTCCTAATCGAGGTGTGACCCTGATAATCATAAACACACCCTAGCACCAGAAAAATTGCCAGCCAGGCCAATAAAACTGGCAATATAGTGTCAGCTTTGTTAGGTGTGGGGTGAGCAGGAGAGCTTGGCACAAACAAGACTGCAGTCACGTCCTTCAGTTTAGTGGCCTGTGTAAGACAAAAAACACTGCTGGGGTCAACAGAGCGCTCCCCATTCAAGCCCTGGACCACTGGGCTCTGGGGGCTGTGCTCCATTTCAGTCCCTCCTGCCTGGCAGCTCTGCCTGGCTGGGACCTGCACTCCCTTGTGACTCCCCTATCTCAGAAGAGCCCTTCTGAGCCTGGGGGACCCCACACCAGGCAACTCTGGGTCTGGGAAGTTGTTACCATTCCCCACCTCCTCCCAGAAACTGTTATGGGTATGATGAACAGTGCAAGAGCTGCCTGGATAGACACCCGCAGCAGAAAGCACTGTGAGTAAGACAGGAATTCCTCACTGCAGCTGCCAAGCCAGGCATTAGCACCGGATGGAACACGATGTGTTCCCCCTCACTGACCGGGAAAATCATTACAATAAAGTAACTCAACAATACACTTCTCTGTTCCTCTTCAGAACTCCCCAAAAGCTCACTGTGCCTTAAAACCACCCAGTAATTAATCCTGCTGATGGGTCAGTATTACCATGAACCACTGACATGGAGCACACTGGTTCACACATACCCTAGAATCCACTTAGAGCTGATCTGCAGAGGATACAAAGCCTTACAGGTCCACCTAAACAGAAATGGAGGTCCCCAGCTCATGCACCAGCTAAAATGGGAAGCGCCTGAGGCAGAATAAGCAAAGAGAAACCTCAGTGTCAGACCCAGAATCCCTGTCTCTGGACTACAGCACTTCTGAACACAGATGAGGGACAGCCATTTGGATCCTCACTCTGGGTGGTTTTTAGTCCTCTCTTAAAATTACCTTTAAGTGTGGGATTAAAGTGTGGCATCTTCTCACCTGGGAGAGCACACCAGAGACCTGCTGTGCTGCACGTCCATGGAGGCAGCAGAGGACTCAGATCCAGCATTGCAGGCTCTTGTATTTCCACTGAAATCCTACTATTTTCTGCATGTAGCTCCTCTCTTCGCAGCTGCATTCCTTCACCCCAAGGCTGTGTAAGTCCTGAGATATTGCTTAGGGGTTACTCCAACACACAACCCTGCTTCACTCCTTCCCACTGATAGAAGGGCTTGTGATAGACACCAGGTTGAAAGCCCCAAGAGCAAAAGCACTCAGTCCAACCCAGGGAGCAGAAGCGCTTCCCTCATTCTTCCCCTGGAAAGCATCCTACACCATTTACCAAGCAGGTTCCTGCAGGAACAAACCCCAGTGCTTTTACTGCTCTAACACACTCAGCATCACTGCAGCTATCACAAGTACCTCAAGTCCCTGAGCAGCACCTTCACAGCACCCTGGCAGGGCTAATCCTGCCAGGAAGCCATCCAAACACAGAGCTGCTTTCCTTCCAGTGCACCAGGGCACCACAAAACACAATGAAACCTTTTCCTGCCCTCTCCTGTGCTTGCAACCTCAACTGAGGATGATTTCCTGGAGAGCACCGTGGGACTCTCTGCTCTGATGCTGAGCTGCCCAAAAGGGTTGTGTAATTTGTGAAGCGCAGAGGTTCCACCTGCACTCAAAGGACCAGAGCCCCCCTCCACATAGATTATCTTTATTACAGGACTGTTATGTTTGCACAGTTTAGTGATTTAATATCAGTTTAAAGCCTTCTCTGTGAGCAATGCTGTTTGAAGTCATGCTCTCTTTTCAGCCTCAGCTTGCCAAGACTGTAAAATGTTTATTGCTAATGGTGGAAAAGCTTAAACAAGCCAAGATAACTTTCCCAGGCTGGGTATTAAAACTGTTCGGATAAGTAAATGAGTGCAGGGTATTACATAGACTTCATTAAATATCAACCAACACCAACAGCCACTCATTTATAACGCAACGGCAGGGCGCGGGAGCACCCAGGAGCAGAGCTGAGAAAGGTATGAACCACATGTGATAGGAGACACGAGAAGGGCTGGATTCCGCATGGGGCTCCAGGTGTGGCTCCCAAGGTCAGGCAGCACAGCTCCTGACAGAGGCTCCTGCAAATACTGTAGATTTGGAGCTGACGAATTGGCTCACCTCCTCTTGGCTGGGGAGGGTTCCATGCATGTGCTGCAGTGCGTCATCCTCCCTCCTGCAGCCATGGGTAAGGACACAACTCTCCAGCTAGTGGAGGACTGTCAGTGCCTGGATGTGATGTTTGTTTTCAGTTTAGCTTTTACTTCCTTATAGACTGGTTCTGCCTTTACTGGTTCCTAGACACAGGATCCCAGCACCAGGTAGAGTAAATTATAAAACCTCTTGCTACTGTTCCTGTGCCAATACTTTACAATTCCCCCTACAACCTGAACTGAGCCCCTCACCATCACCATCCACCACCCATCACTCTCCTTGAGTTCAATATTCCATACATAAGGAAAACTGAGGTAAGGTAGTTACTTCATTTGGGAACCCATCCTCAAATCATGTTTCACCCCCAGCCCCTCTTCACTATGCAGAATTCTCACTGCTACTTTCCTTCCTTATTCTCTCCTACCTGCCTAAGGCTCTTGCTCTTACTTTAATATCCTTTTTCATATCTCTCAATATGATTGCAACTGGTTCTTGCTTGTTTTCTGCATCTCCTGTTCCCCAAAGCAGAGCTTCCTTCACACGTCACTCCTTTCAAACATCCCTGCTTACTTCTAACACCCTGCTGCAGCAGCTATTAACCGGTCAGGTCTGGAACTGCCACCTCCCTGCTCAATTTTCCTCCCTTGTCTGAGGGGTGCAAATTCCAACCTGATTTTGCAGCCTGTAGCACAAATTCCTGTTTGCAGCTCCAGTATTTCCCAGCTGTTGGGTGTTTTGAAGCCTTTTCTCAGATCAGCTCTGCCTCAATGCTAATTTCAGCAATTAACTGGTTCAGGTGCACCCAGAAACCTCCTTCATCCCTTCAGTGGCCACAG